TTTTCTTTTCTTTTCTTTTCTTTTCTTTTCTTTTCTTTCCTTTTCTTTTTGGTAAATAACATCATGATATCCCCAAATACCTAAGCCAGAAAACTTTTTATATCCTTCGTTAATAGCTTCCTAATTGGTCTCCCTCCTCTCAGTAGTTCTCCTCTATGGTCTCTTCATACAATAGTAAGTTTGAAAGTGGAACTATAATTGAAGATCAAATAAATTCTTGCTTAAAAATTTCCAGTGGCTTTCTGTCACAAGTAGGAAACATCCAAACTTCTTGGTACTGCCTACAGAATCCTGCCTATTCCAGCCCCCTGCCCCTCATCTTGTACCACTTACACCTTTGTGCATTATACTCCAAGCACTTCGACCTTCTTTCCATTCCTCACCCACCTAAGGCCTTTTGTTCTTTTGTTGCTTATAATACTCCATCTTCAGATTTTTGCATTACTGCCTTATCCTGTGGTTGGTTCAAATATCATACCTTCTCAGATAGATTTCTGTTGATCATCCTAGTGAAGTCAACATCTTCCTGCCTACTCACAATTCAATTGCTATTTTGTATTATACACTGGAATTTTCACTATCGATATTATCTTTTTTGTTTATGTCTTCATTGTTTCTCATTCTTTCTAGATATAATTTTATAGGAAGAAAGACTTTACTTTTTCATTATATCCCATTTCTTTGAAGAGTGCCTGGCACATACTGGGTGTTCAAAAAATATTTTTAAATGAAAAATAAAAAGAATGAACAATGTCTTTAGGTCCTGAATCTCAGTGAGACAGTGTACACAGTTATAATCTGCTTGCTCTGCCTATAGTGTTCTCCATTTTCTTCTTTTTCTGCTCATCTTTGGCTTATTCTTAGTACTAGATTCTGTCACTGCTTCCAAGAAACTCACATGTCATGAGTTTAAAGGTTAATGCCTCCAATAGACTCTATAACCCATGCAATTTTTGGTTAATATATTTGTATCTCCTATTAGACTAGTTTCTGGCAGAGAAGATATTTGGTTTGTATCCCCAAACTAGTAGAGGCTCATAAAAATATACTCTATTTCTTTTGTTGAATTAGTTGATAAGTCACAGACTCCTTTGGTAATATAAATTAGCTGTCTCCCAATATTCCTTAATTTGCCAAGTTTTGCCAAGTTTTGATTTTTAGACATTGAGACTTTTAAATCATAAGAGCACATACAGACTTAACTTATAGACTTAGCTAATGTCCTTACTAAATTTTTCTATAAGAATAACAACATTAAATATGATGTCTGTAATAATTGTGTATTATATCCCACACATTGCTGATATAGATTGTCTTATTCACAAATAACCCTTCAAGGTGTATATATTATTATTCACCTTTTACATAATGGAAATGAGGCTCACATGTGGTAATCTGTTCAAGCACATATAGCAAAACAAAGCTGAGATTTGAATCCAGATCTCTGATTTCTAGGCCCAAGCTCTTTCTGCTACACCATGCTGCCCCCTATGGGACAAGTCTACAAATTGGAACTGTTTGTTAAAAAATAACTATGAAGATTATAAAATCGGAGCTCTTTTAAGCTGTAAAATTGAGAAAGCTGCTTTGAGTGGCCATTACTTTAATAGACTAGACAAATAACACTAGTCCCAACATGTTCTAGGAAAGAGAATTATACGGTACTACATAACCTGTGCTTAGTATGCTTTTTCTCTGCTTATGAGCATAAAGGATTTGGGTATACATTTGTTAACCTACTGATGTTTTTGCTGATAGTATTTTGTTCTCTAACCTCAGACTTCCCAAGGGAGGAGGTGCCTTGCTTGACATATCCTTCAGCTTTTCTGTTAAGTTCATCATATTCATGAGAGGCATACTACTTATTTGGCTTTGGTTATGAGATACTAGTTTATCTAAGATTTCTCCCTTTCCTATCTTCACTTCATAACATTGGTGCCATATGGATGGGAAGTTTGTCTTCATCTCTTCCTTTGGCTTCCTGCCTCAGTCTTGTCAGTTCTTCTTTATCATAGGCTGTCTATTCTTCCCTACCGTGATTTGATTAGATTCTCTTGGCTGACATGGCCATTACCTGGCACCATAGCCATTCTCATTTGGTACTTCTGAATCTTTACCCTTACTCTGTGTTCTTTCCAGGAAGTGTGGTCGAGAACCGAACTGACTCTTCACTTTTCCTAAATGGAGTTGATTTTGGGTTATTGACCTAGTTTCTGGCCTTTCCACTATTCTGTTTTTTTTTCTTTTATGTGTTCAAACTATTACCACTGAGCAGTGTTTCTTGCAACTTGCTTGAACCAGTGCCTCAGCCCAAAGAAAATCATTGGTGGAAAGAGGACCAAGAATCTGGTGACTGAACCAAGGAACTTTAGAACTTTATTGCTTACCACTCACTGCCTTTCTTCTGTGCATCTCTGGGGATGGGGATGGTGATGGAAGACAGTCAATATGTGATGATGTAGAATTGATCTTCTTTAGATCCTGCTCATCTGAGGGGTATATCAGCTTAGTGATGGGAAAGCCAGAAACTGGTTGTTTGTATCTTGCATATTGTAGAGCATCCATGATCCATCTCATTTCACGCCAACTTTCATCTATTTGCTTTGGAATAAAATGGTAAGAGACATTAAGTTATCAAGTAGCTTTTTAAAAGGAATAAGTTTTCCTAAGAACCAAAAATGATCTGTTTTCCACAGTATTGGTTTTTGAATAAGAGTAAAATATTTCAAAATGTGTTTGCTAAGCCAGAAAATACCTCTTCTTTGTAGTCTCTTGTTTTTTGCATATTTTACCTGAAAAGCTATATCTTTTAGTGGAAACAGAAGACCCAGATGATATTTAGCTCTGTAATAGCCTTTAGCAAGTATTTGACCATTTTGAGCCTAAGTTGCCTTATTTAAAAAATATGGATAAAATATCTTCCCTTTTATACTAGATAGGGCTGTGATAAATGACTAAAATGATGAATTTGAAAGTGCTTTGTGATATTGCAGAGGACATTATACACACTTATAAAGTGCTATTAATTCTTAGTATTTAATGAAATATTTGTCATTGGGATATTGTGGGGGATTCGATACAGTCAGATGTAAATATTAGAATACTTGGGCCTATGTTAAGACAAAAGAAGCAACTTTATATATTAAACTTATTGTTTTCTTGCTTCCAAAGTATAAAACATCTTACGTAGCTTATTCTTAAGTAATCTAAACATTCTCGGATTTATTTTTTTCAGGGTAGCACATTTTAAATTGTTACGTTTTGCTTTCTGGATTACCAAAGTGACTTTAATGACATTTTCATTATAAAGTATAACAGTAGTTTCTCTAAAATCTGTTTGTGTAAAAGTCACTCAAATTTCTGTGCCTGTTTCTATAGGTGATAGATATTTTACCAGGTCTTGGTAGAGGGTGACTGTGAGCTTTCTGGGTATTCTATCTCCAAGGAGAGGCAGTTAGTTACACAGTGCTTCATAGGGCCCTGGTTAGCTTTGCATCTGGTTTCACTAGGTGCCTAGAGCAAGGCATTAACTTCTTCAAGCCCATTTACTCAACCACAAAAATGGACTAAATGATGTTTAAAGTCACTTCAACTTTATGATTTATTTTTGAAGAATATTTAGAAAGTTGATGTAATTCTACTTCCAGGTAGAAGATGTTCATTGCATGAACAATTCAAGATCAAGGCCCTTTTGATTATAGTGGCTTTAAAGATAAGGTACTGCCCAGTGTTATATTTTATTTTCAAAATTTCTTCTTGTGTCTTTAACTGTGCTTATCTGTATTTAAGCCTGCCTTTTAAAGAATATTCACAAACCTGGTATTCCCAACACAGAGTTGAATCTGAAATGGTGACATGCAGTGGGCCATGATCAGAGTAACAGGCAGACTAGAATGAACCAGTGAGTGGCATTGTGTGTGTAGTCGATAGTCATTTCCCTTGCTATCTAGTTCTGTTTTGGAGTAATAGGACCTGGCAGAGCATAATACTGAGCTCCAGGGTTTGTTAGCTTGGTGATTTGGGCAGGAAGGCTCACAGGGAAGCACCAAGCCATTTTGAAGGGAGAAATATGAAATTCAAAGGATAAAGCAAAGTGGGAATCCCAAATGAGACTTTTCCTGATGAAATTATTGCTGTCTCGGCTGACTTTTATTGGCCCTACCTCATGTAGCATACTCTTTGTCTCAAAGTTACTTTAAAAAAAATTTATCAAAGTTATTTTAAGGCACATTATTGTGAACTGCTTTTAGAGTGCTTGTCAAGGACAGGAACTATACTTCTCTATCTTCTCTTTAGCTGTGTAGAGTAGTTATTCAAAAAATGATTGCTCAGTGAAAGAATGAATGAATGAATGAATGGAATGGTTGCATAATTCTTTAAATCTTTACCCTCAAAGGATTATTATAAGGATAAAGTAAGATAATGTAGAAGAATGCACTTTTGTCAAAATGACAATCATGGTTATTGTAGTGGGCTGAAGGCAGACCTCTAAAAGATGTCCAATTCTCATACTCAAACCTGTGAATATTACTTTATATGGTAAAAAAGTAAATATCACCTTATATGGCAAAAGATGTGTTTAAGGATTTTGAGAGGAGGAATTTAGCTTGGATTATCTGGATGTGCCCTAATTCCAATGACAAATGTTAACATAAGGACATTCTTGTAAGAGTAAGACAGAGGAAGATTTGGCAGACATAGGAAAAAGGGGCCATGTGACCACAGAAGCACAGGTCAGAGTGATGTGGCTTCAAGTTAAGGAATGCCAACAGCCACTGGAAGCTGGGAGAGGTAGCAAATGAACACCCCGCTGCCTTCCATTCCAAGAGCCTCTTTTAGGGAGTGCGTCTTTACCAACATGTTAATTTCAAATTTCTGGTCTCCAGAAATGTAGAGAATAAATTTCTATTGTCTTCAGGCACTCAGTTTGTAGTAATTTGTTACAGAGAACTTAGGGAATAAATGTACTTATCGTACCTGTTTTTTTTTTTTTAGATTAGATTATCTGAGCCTATTACTAAGGATAGAGTTAGTATAGAAATTAAAAAAATTTTGTTTAGAAGTAATATTTGCTACTTAGCTTTTTTTCAGTGATGAGATGGATAAGTCTTAGCTGAAGAAAAACAAAAAACCCATAGGTACAGGGAGGCCCATGGATTGAGTTTAATGGGACTTAGCTAAGTAGCTCCAAAAGAAGTATAATTTTCACCCATTTTACCTTATACTGTTGATCTGAAAGTAACTGACAACATAATCCCCCCTGATTTTAAGGTCCAAATTCAGCTTCTAAAGACTTGCTGACACATTTTAAAAAAGAAAGACCATGAACTCCTTAGGACTGTTGATTAAAAGTTCTGCATTCATTTCTCACCCTGCTCTTTACAAATTTCAGTTTTTATCCCATAAATTAGACTCCTTTTTCTGTACTCAGGCAAGATAATATTTTTATTAAAATATAAAGGTGATTGGTTTTCTCACAGCATAGCTACAAGGTGCTTGAGGGGATGATAGATTGGCTATATTTAATGAGCTGTGTTTCTATTACAGCTTAGAAGCATTTGAAGCATTACAGTATATAAATTATAGTCTAATTGCCCTTTAGGCTTTGGCAGCTCAAAACATGCTGAGCTCTAGGTCTTTGCACTTTGACATTTCTTTCTCTCCCCCGCCCTTTTCCTTCTCTCTCTTTTTCTTTTACTCACTGACTTTTCTGCTGTATGTGCTGACTTAAGGCCAGTATACCTTATCTATGGTTTTCTATATACCCCCATCCAACCCTCCCCCTTTCTGGCTGTACTCCTTGGCTTCTTTTCCAAACCATATTTACATAGACTCCCTTGCTCTTTACAATGTTTGGTTTGTGTAGTGACTTTAACACTGTCTTAGATCTGGAATCATACAAATGCTCTTGTGACTGGCGGTCGCCTCTGCAGGTTATAGTGTGTAGTAGTCTGAGCTGTGAACACTAATGGATGAGTGGTTGCAGCTGGTTTTCAGAGAGAGAGAGAGAGAGAGAGAGAGAGAGAGAGAGAGAGAGAGAGAGAAAAGGAGAAGCCAATATAGATAAGGGGAGAGATGATGTAGTTATTTAAGTTGGGTGGAACAAGGTGTAGTATACTGAAGATGAAGATTCTGGGGCAGGAAGATGGGTCTGGTTATACCCAGCCTAAGAAGTTATTTTTTGAACCATTTGGGAATTGGCTTTATCCAAGTTTATGTATACCTGGCTGGCTTGTAAGGGAGTATGTAGAGGGGCTCTCAAGTTACCTGCTCAGAGCAGGCAAGAACTTTGAAAAATTTCTGGCGTGATCTGTTTTTATCCATCCCACTTTAATGGCATGATGAAAGGCAAAGAGAAAATGTTAGTGAAGCTCCAGGTAAGTGATAAGAGAAGAGCGAGAGTAGTGGTAAGGAAGTGGGAATGGAGCCAGGAAATCTGGGAGGAGTTCAAGATGCAACAGACTACTGAGAGTCAGCTTCCTCATTGGATGAGCACATTGGACTTAGAGAGGCTCTAAGAAGAAGAGAAGGCAGAGCATGGTTGGAGAAGTATTTCTTTAAAAATTGTGAAACATTAGGGCCAACTAGGCCCTTAGACATGATCTAGTTCAGTCCTTTTGTTTCACATATGATGGAATGAGACCTTGGGAGATCAAATAAATTTTCCACTACTCCAGAGTTAATCAGAGGGAGATTCAGGGATAAAATATGTATTCTTTGACTTTTCCATTATTATTCTTACGTGCTATGTTGTCCTTTATGTAGGGCTTGAAAGATGAACCAGTCTTCTGTATTCTCCTCATGCTGCATTCTGCCTTTCCTATCCCTTTCCCACCATGTTCCATTTTTACTGGAAATAACTGAACCAAATGTTTTGAATTTTTAAATATTATATTCTCAGACCAGAACAAGTAACTTCTTGAAAAGTTATTTCTTTAGTCTTAGAAGTCACCTAAGATATCTCCTTTACAGGATGAGGGAAGTAGGATAATCCTAAAGATTTGTTACTTAATACTTCGCAAGTGTCCCGAATACTTCAAACTCTTAGTTCTTGTGTAGTCATATTTCAAAGGATTTTCCTTTTAATTAATGAATGAGTAAATAAATATATAATTTATTGTATGCCTATGAGGTGACAGACACTTTGCTGGGGGTTTTACATGCATTCTCTTATCGAATTCTCTCAGTAAAGCTGTGAGGCTGTGCTATTATTATTATCATCCCTATTTTTTTTCAGATGAAATTTGGACTTCGAAAGATTATTTGCCCAGAGTTCATAAAACTTAAGTTCTCATTTACCCTTTTCTGGATCATTGTAAGAAGTTATCTTGTCTGTTTTACTGTAATTATTCTCAAATCCAGGAGAGAGATGCAAATCATTTGGTGAGCAGGCCAATCAGAACAAGTACAGCACATTTTACAAGTAGTATTTACACATATCCTGTCCATCATCCTGGATTTTAAACTCCTTACGGTCAGGGACTATATCTGTTTCAACTTTGTATCTCCTATATAGTGCCTGACACCTGGGTGTTTAATAAGTATTTATCAAATTGAACTGAATATATATCATGGTGATATTTATAATGGGGCTGTTGCTATTATACTCATTGTGTGAATTGGTAACTGATGGAAAGATTGTAAGATTTGGCTAAGGAATTTAGAGGCAATTTCAAGCCAGATCCAAATTCTTTTGACTACTAGTTAGTACTCCTTTCATAAGCCCCTTGAGCTGTCACCTTGAGGTCTTTACAGACAAGACCATAGACAGGGAACATATTTTCTCATCTCAGTAGCCACATAGTAAAGTGTTAACTCTGCTAGACAAAAGTCTAAAACACAGGGAATCTCAGTTCTTAAAGAATGTGGGTTAACATAAACTGATGGGTCATTTTTTTCCTGAGATATTGAGTAGATTAAAATTTTTCTTTCTGTTGGAATTAACAATGGGATATCAAGTAAGAACAATATTCTGATCATTATTTCTGGGGGTGATTTTTTTCTACAGTATGCCTGATACAGTTCTTAGGAATAGTGTGATTTATCTGTAACGTTTTCTTAAATCTTTGTTTGAAAACACATCTTCCTGAGCTCCATATTTTAACCAGATCTACAGGCTGCTTGCACCCTGTGTGCTTTGAATCAGTCCAGATTGCTGTTTTTTTTTTTCCTGCTTGTTTCTTACCCTTTCCACCCTGCCTCTTCCTTCTCATTACCTGAAAAAACCAAAACCAAAACCAAAAACCATTACCTGAATGAAATCTAAAACTTGCTGGTGTCTTTGTTTGGCAGCTGCAACCTCACTGTCTGAGATGGCTTCCCTTAGGGACTGTTGGGTATTCAGAGAATCCAGCTCCACAACAGCAGAAAGGCGGCAATACAGACTAATAAATTTCTCTCTATAGCTGCAAAAATGAACTGGAAAATGGACAAGCAAAATAAAACATGTTAAGATCTGGTATCAAAATAGAGAAATTCATACCTCAGAGAAAACCATTGGATGAAAACATGATTTATTAATCCTATCAGTGGAAAATATTAAGCCATAAATAAATTATAAATGTGCTCTTAAGGGACCAGTTGTCTGGCTTCAGTTAGACAGTATTTATTCCCTTTGAGGTTTACCAAGCCCTGGTAAGGTGTGGGGAAGTGAGGTTGGCTCATGCTGCAGTTTATGTGGACTTTTCCCTAACGTTAGGGCTTTTTATTTCATGTATAGTCATCATGTGCCACATAATGATGTTTCAGTCAACCATGGACTGCATATACAATGGTGGTCCAGTAAGATTATATCACCAGTGATATCATAGCCATCTTAGTTTAAGTACACTATATGATGTTTGCACAAAGATAAATTGCCTAAGGACATAATTTTCAGGATGTATTCCCAATCCCCATTGTTAAGTCACACATAATTCTGTGTATCTCTGTGTATGTATGTGTTTCTTAAATTCACTTAGGTGGCTTTTTAAAGTCCACATAAATCCATATATGTATTTTTTGTGGTGTGTATTTGTGTGTGTGTATGTATGTATGTGTTTGTGTATGACTGGAAAAATAAGTTTGCTTTTCACTTTAAAGGAAAAGCAAAGCCAAGTAGCAATTTGAAATTTGAATTTTCATGTCTGATTTCCTGTTATGTATCTTGCTCCTTTCCAAGTCTAGAATCCCCAGAAGATTCATGTTTTTTCTTGGGATATCTTTTGTCTGACTGGAAAACTTCCCTGAGGGCCAGTCATTATGGGCTTTGGTCCTCCTATCTTTCCCTTCCTTAGTTCCTCTGGAAGGATGGGGGAACTGACGCCTGGACAGACCATTTTTGTCTTCAGTAGACTTGACCTTCTCCTCTGAAAATAATGGGACAGAGGCAGGCCACAGGAAAGAGTCCAACCTTCATCTCCTTCATTTATTTCTGTTCAAGAGGGCCAGCGATGTAGGACTGAGCCCAGTGCAGACAGCCTGAGATGGTTAGATTGTCTGGTCTTCTCTGATAAACTCTGATCATAAACTATAACTTCAGATTCCAATTGCATAAGAAAATCATCCTGATTCAGATTGGTGTAGTTCCAGTCTCTTTCTGGCTCACTGTTGAACCTCATTATTTTGTATACCTCAGACTTAACCAGTGTGTTCCATGCTTCAGAAAGAGGGTCATTCTAACTCAACTGTCTGTTAGAACATTTTTATTATGGCTTCTTGGGTGAGGAATACTAGAAATAACATATAATTAATGCTCTTGCACCATTTTTCTATTGATTCTCAAGACCTACATCTGGCCCTTTAGGGAAGCTAAACCACAGTGCCTCAGAATATGGCGTTGGTCATCTCTATGCAATGGGAGGAAGCCCTACTTCTTTGCATATTGAGAGATTTCTCTGTACCTTACAATTCTCATCTTACCACTGCCTGCTTCCTTGTGTGATTTCCTCTTAGATGGGTGGAAAGTTAGCCTGCTAAGTCTTTCCTCATAGAAGTGGAAGAGAAGAATAGGGTGAGGGTTTCAGTGGTTCATTCTTACTCCAGCTGTGCCCATTTCAAGGAGATATTTCTCAATCCAGGTAGTTTACAACCTGGGGTTGATTTTTTTCTCTCTGGTGTCAGATCCTTTCTTCCCATATTTTCTATTCTCTTTAGCACTTCCTTGCCTGACACAAAGAGAAGCTGATTTTATATACCCTTTCAGTAAATGACAAATTATTTCACTTTTCTCAAATGATAGAATTCTCAAGCAGTTTCTTCACTTAAAAGACCTCTACAGAGAACGCTCTTGACTTCAGTATAAAATCCAAACTTAAGGAAGTTGCCCATAAGGAAGCTCCTTGTGGTGGAGGATTTGAATATAACTTCACTTATATTTTTCATCCTGTGACCACCTTCAACCCTTAGCCCTGCATCAACCTTAACCTTTGGTGAAACTACTACTTTGGTGAATATACTACACTCCTTTTATACTCTCATGCTTTTAACATGCTTTTCCTCATCCTCAGCTACCCATATTTACCTCTGATCCTGATGTTTCTTCTGATTTGTCTTCTCAGTGAAGTTTTCACTGACATCTCTTCCCTTCCCTGCAGAACCAGTTTCTCCTCTTTTGTGCTTCTAGAGCACTTATTTCTAAATGTATGATGGCATATCCTGCTACATTGTAACTGTGTGGATAGCTGACTATTTTGGTATTAGACTGATTTTTTTTGAGGGCAGGAAGCATGTCTACTATTACTTTTTATTTCCTCAAAACATGGAACATTGTAGCTTCTCAGCTAATATTTATTGACCAAATGAATAAAATAAATGCATGAGTTGATCTGAAGAGGGCAGACCCTGTCCCTGAAGGCTCTTCTTTCCCTCTGTTCTCACTTCACTGTGTGCTAGATTTTCCTGTTTTGAAAGGTATTTCGGGTCTCTGATATTTACTGGCAGCTCTGCAGGAAGGAGTCACCATTACTTGGTAGCTTACTCTTGACCCCTGTAGTTCTCTGAATGTGTCTTTATGCCTTTCAAGGAGGGATTATATCCTGTTAGCACTTGACAGATGTCCTCTTTTGGCTGGAGAGTGGAGAGAGGGAAGTGTCTCACAGCCTGCTTTTCCAAACCAAGTTGTAAAAAAAAAAAAAAAAAAAAATCGACTTTTTTCCCTCTATAAAATATGACTGGTAAAGTTGACTATGGAGAGACACTGAATAATTTCTTTAAAAGAAACACTATCAGTCCCAACTGAATCTTAAAAGTCAGGGTGTTCACTGCTTTCCCTTGTTGTGTCTTTGCAGTAGGAGCCATGGATCAGTGGGTGGCCTCACAGCACCCACACCATCCATGCCACGCACCACAAGTGAGTTATGAGCAAGTTTCAACTGTAGCGCTTCCATTTCCCGCTCTAGTGGTTTTCATCCAGAGCCTTTAATGTCACTTTAACAAATGTTACTTTAACATAGTCTTTTGTGGTCTAGCAATGATACATTTGGTAGCCATCACTGAGGAGGGAAGGATAGATTGGAAGCTTCTAATTTTTAAAAAATGTGAATCACATTCATTTTGAAGACAAGATGGTATAAGGCTACAATAATGTCATTATCTGGACCACATGATTTGTTAGTAACTTATAAACTAAGACTAATTTTATGTGGTGTTGTGTCTCTTTATCTCTTTCTTTCTCTCTCTCTCTCTTTTTCCTGTAAAAGATAGTGACAGCCTGAAATACAGTTGGCACGGACGCTAGCAGTAGAGTACAGTGGAAAGTTTATAGGCTTAGCTATTGCACAGGCCTGGGTTTGAATAGTTCTGCCACTCACTACCTGTGTGGTGGACAGATAACCTCTAGGAGTCTTAGTATTATCCCTAAAACAGATTACAATGCCTACCTGGGATTAAATAATACAATGTATATCAGGTACCCAACAGAGCATATACCATTTACAAAATACATGTTTGTTCCCACCCACTGTCCCAACCCCTCCCCCACCCTGGGAAGGGGAATGAAGCATTTATTGACTAGAATATTAGAACAGGACTGAGATTAGAATATTTTCCCTAAGGTTCTCTAACTTGCTGAGCTCCTTATCAGTCTGGGTGGGTTTGGAGGAAAAGGAATCATGAGATAATATCCAAGAGTCCATTTAAGTGCCATGATTCTTTGCCAAAGTTTCAGAAAGAACCTGGGCAGAAGGTTCCCCTCTAGATTCCTAGTAGTGAATGAGTTGGCAGTTGGAATATAGGAATGGTCTCCTAAATTATGAATAATGGGCATTAGGAATGAAGGTTGAGACTATGCCATTTCTTGCAAGCCCATGGCCTGGATTCTATTAGGCTCATTGCCTGGATATCCCACAGGCACCTCAAAACTCATCATTTGTCAAACTGAACTCATCATCTCTCCCCTCCCCCAAACCTGTTCCTCCCTTCATATTTTTCCTGTTTGGGTAGCTGTCAACATTATCCATCTCAGCACCCTATTCAGACTTTCTGACTCCTCCATCTTGCTCTTCAACCACATCAAATCAATCACAAAGTCTCATCAATTTTAATTCCTAAATTCCTCTTGCTCTCCTGCTTTATTCTCTTTACCTCCACTGTGGCTGCCTTGGTTCAGGTTCTTATTGCCTATTTGGACCAGTGAGACAGTCTTTCTAATTATAAATCTCTGGTCTCAGACCTTTTTTCCCTTACTTTCCTATAATCTATCCTTCACAGAACTACTAAAATCCTTTGAGACTATGTTGTCCCTTTCTCAAGGGTTTTTTTTTTTTTTTTTTTTTTATCAATCCCCTTTGCCTGCAGGATATAAAGTCTCACCTCCTTAGGATGATATAAGAGTAGCTTTTTGTGATTTTGCCCTTTTGGCTTCCTCAGATGCCATAAGCATCCTTCACATTGAGCTACTAAGAATGTATCTAATTGGACAGAACTTTCCAGCCTTCCAATCCTTTGTGCATGCTGGCCTCTCTGCCTAAAATAATTTTCCTTTTCTGTTCTGCCTTTCTTTCTCTTTCTGAATTTTTATTTTTCTTCAAAATCCAGCTAAAGTATTATCTCTGTAAGGAATGAATAAGTATCTTTCCTCTGAAATTCAATAGCCCACATCTCATAGCAGTGCTTTCATTGTTTTAAGACTATTGGCATAGTTGCCTGCATTCCCTACTAGATTCTGAGTTTCTGGTGCGCACACTGTGCCTATTTAGTATCTGTATGTCCAGCCCCAGCACAGTACCTGGCATACTGTGAAATCTCAGTAAATGTTTGTTGAATAAAGGATATAGTCAATAGCCAAGCACAGAAGTATGAAATGTATACCAGGACTATTTTTTAAAAATTCTCCAGTTTTTGTCTTTCTAGTCCAGTTAGTATGAATCATAGAGCCAAAGGAATATATAAAAAATCAGCTTTCCTCATCACAAGCCTACTGTTAATTGACTGCCCACAGGGTCAGGGCAGGGTGACCTCCTATATTCAGGCTAGGAAAATCCTCAAGAGGCTACATCACTGGATGGATTTTCTAATGGTTCATGATACTTCATTTTCCTTTTATCTTGGGAATAGTGTAAACAGTGATGCTTATGGGACCCCCGGCACATGTTTTATTCCTGTAGAGGGATTCTTGCCTGTTCCTACCCCAGAGAAGATGAAGTGTCATCCCTGAAGCTGTGGAAAAGGGAGTGGGTCTTTGGTGAAATTGTGCCACTTTGCCTCAGCTGAACCCTGCTTGTCCAGATCTTATAAGATGCTCCTCCTATAGGTCCATCTCTCTCTCAAAAACACAGATAATCCTCTGAAGGAGTATCCTGGGTGTTTGCCCCAGTGGTCTTTACTCCAGGAGACAGAGGGCTAAGCTCCTTTGTCACTTTGTCCTTGCTAGATCTGTTTAATGCTGGAATAGGTACATAGCTGGTTAGAATGTTATTTATGATTCACTTAGGCCACTGGCAGAAACATGGTCAGTTTGCCAAATCTCAAATCCTTTCATGGGGCTGGGGATGACTTATACAAGTCAAACTGAAATATAGTGCAATTCTTTGTTCTATTATAATTTACATATTCCCATAATTCACACCTTTTCAAATTTCATTAGAATTCCCATGTTGTTATTAAAGTTTTTCTGAGTTCTGACTGGATTTCCGAAAACATTCTTTCTTTCTCAGAAATGCTTAGTGTATCACAACCTTTTATTATAAAACTATCTATGGAGAATAGAAGTCCCTACTAACAAAAAGCAAATAAAAAATGCTTAGCATATTTCTTAGAGGGGCTAGATGAACTACAGCCAGTCCTTAAAAGTTCCTATATAAGATGTTATTTATTTCTCAGTGGGCTGATGCTTACTGGAGGAAGTAGCTTTGATAATTTGCCTCTTGGAAAGTTCTTATTGCTTGGGGATTGGTTAGAGTTTGTCATGATTCTTGCTGAGACCCAGTAATATTTTAAAATTGTTACTAGTGGAATGCAATAAATATTGTACTAAAGAGTGTATTAATCATCACCTATTGGCAACACTTTTTGCAGGTTCCTAAAAAAAGTTTAATAGAATTGCATATGCCAGTGGAACCAAGCCCAACTAAGAGGTCTTTTCTGGAAATTTACATGGAGATGATCAGTTGGATCACCCATAATATGGCAACAAAGGATGATAAAGAGAGTAAGAAAGTCTTACTCTAGGAAGAAACACCTTAAAGCCGGGAACTGTGAGCCCCAGGGTTTGATCTCTGTCTTTTCATAGATAAAGGATAGTTTCCGATCTTATATTGCTTTTAGCAATATGGAGGTAAGGCAGATTAAGGAGGCTGACACAGTTGAATTCTACTGTATTATTATACTAACCACATCTCTAGTTCTGTGCTCATCTCTGTGTGCTTGGCAGTACTGTTTTAAGTATGGTCAATGGATTTGTGGATTTAGTATCACCAGAGAGCTTATTGGAAATGTACATTTCCTAGCTTCTTCACAGATGTACTGATTCAGCATCACTGGGGTTGGGCTTCGGGAATCTGTATTTTAACAAGCTATCCAGGTAGTTCTTATGCAAATAAAATTTGAGAAGCACTGTTCTAAGGCATCATATCCCAAATATGAGTTCAGTGTACTTTTAATAGGTACTGTGGCAAAAAAGATTCCAGTCTTGGTTGAATGAATTTGGAGACTGTTGGGTTAAGCTAAGGTAAGCAAAGTTAAGCATTTTTTTTTGTTGTTGTTGATGTTGGTGGTGGTGAGGAAGTTCTACTGGATTTTGCAGGAGAACTTATGTTACCCTACTGCTCCTGATTCTCCATTGGATTCCCAATATATTTAAAATAACATGTAAATTCCTCATCATGGCCCATGGGGCCTGCATGATCCTGGTCCCCATTGATTCTCTGATCTTATCTCCTATCTTTGTTGTTTTTACCTACATGCTAGGTGCATTTATCTCTTAGCCAAGCATGCTCTCACTCTAAGGTCTTCCTGGTACTGGGAGTTGAACCCAGGACCTTGCTAGGCAAGTGCACTACCATTGAGATATGTCCTCAGACCTTTCCATTTTATTTTGAGATAGGTCTTGCTAAGTTGCCCAGGTTGGCCTCAAACTTGCAATCCTCCTGCCTCAGTCTCCTATTCAATAATATTTGTCGATAAATGCATAAACAAAAGAATGGAGAGAGAAAATGGAAACTAGTACATTTCACCAGATTGTAGAGTAGAAATCAGTAGAACACAGTGTGGTTGCCCAAGAGGAATGTGTGAGCCTCACAGAAAAGAAGAGAGACCCTCACATGTCTGGGCCCTCCAGCGCCTTAGGAGTCATGTACTATTTTGATTGATACCAAATCACTGATTATTCCGTCAAGGCCATTAAAACATGAGAAAATGAATTTCAAGTAGTTTGACCTGTAATTATGGAAAAACAATGGTTGTTTTACACAGAATTAAATATTGGTTAGCTCTCTAATGAAGTATTTTCCTTAGTTCTTGGTCAATTACTTATCTTACAGAAATCATTCACTTTTATGGCTTTAGCTGTTTTCAGTAGACACTGGCCAAATTTCTGTTTTAGTAACAATTTTTCTTTCCAGAATTTCTATTGCCAAGGGGACATGTGTACTTAGTACCTTGAGACTCAACATATTCAAAGCTGAAAATCACTTTTTTCCCCAAATTGTTTTTCTCCCTGACTTTCATACTTCTAGTAGAGGCAGCGATATATTTGTAGTCATTGGGACTGAAAACCACCAGGGCATTTCTCAGACTTCTCCTTACCTCATTTAAACAATTGCCCACTCTTATTAATTACTCCTAATATTTCTCATATTTGTATTTGTTTCCTTTTTATTTCCTTTCATTTCCTTTTTTTTTTCTTTTTGATTCCTACCCTAACCCTGAACTATTATAATAATCTCTGAATTTTTTGAACCTTGCTTCTGGTCCACCTTAAACAGATTCTTCAGGCTGGTTCTCAAGAGTCAATTTGGCCTTACTTTATTTGTAGAGCTTTTTATTCCTCTGTTTCCTCATATATATATTTTTTCTGATCTAGGCAAAGTGGACCACTTGTCCTCTTTCTGAATTTTTATCAAAAGAGCAGAACCTTTGTCTTACTGATTTCTAAATCCTTATAGTAGGCACCCAATATTTATTTCTATTGCCATTGGGTCATGTGAGATACTTTGCCTCAAACTATATTTCATAATAACAATGTTGTTATAACATGGACTAATAATGTCCTTTGGCTGGGGAACTCATTAAATGGTCACATTTACATCCAGGCTTTTAGGGAGTGGTATGGTTAATGGTATTAATTGTGTAACCCAGAAAAGGCACAGAAAAGTTAAGGGATTGCCAGTGTCATACAGCAGGTGACCCAAAACTCTCAAGTTCCAGTCTGCAAGTCTGATTCAAACTAATCTTAAGAACTTTACCTCCTCTGGAGAATAACAGTTGCTGTTCATCACGTTTTAGCATCTGAATTGCCTGGAATAATAGGAACTGAGCAGTTTAAACAATATCCTGAAAAGATAAATTCAGATGCAAATGCCCAGGTCTCAAAATAAGACATCAGGCAGTTTCCTTGTCTGCTTCTAGATCTGGTGGCTAGGGAGTAATTCAAAGAGGGTCTGCCTCCATTCCATCCATCCACCCAGTCAGCCTCCCACAAACTGTATAATTCATTTGAATTGACAGAGCCCTTACTAATTGCCTCTTATTGGCCTGTTACAAGATGAAGCACGGAAAGGGAGACAAAGCCTTCCTATTCACATTCTCAGTAGGCAGCAGGGGTCTCTGCAAAGATGGAGAAACTGGAGCCCAAGCTGTTCATTTTTGAAAGTCAGGACAAGATCTTCCACCACTCAGAACCCCTTATAAAAAGTCACAACATTGCATCCTGAGAGACTCGGTGCATTTCTTAATGGTCTGTCAGAAATTTAGTCTATTTAATATTAGAGTCTATTTATGACTTATATTTATGGACCTTTTTCCCCCTCCCAAGTGATACAAACTCTACATTTTAATTTCATTATTATTTTTTCCCAGTTGGAGGTGGGGAAGGGGAGAGAAGGGGCAGTGCTTTTCATAAAAACATCGTTCTTGTATTTATATTTTAAGAAAGCAAAGGAAAGGCAATAAGCACAGCCTGATAACTGAACTTTCTGTTTAGAATTCCTTCCTCTCCATTGGGCCTTAGCTATGTTTCAATAATTATTGCTCAGGCACATAGTCTTGGAGCTTTGCTTTTTCTCAGACTTGTACACAGTTCTAGGAAGGGTTGTTGCCAAAGCCATCATGTGATTTATTGACCCTCCACTGGGACAAGGGGGAACAGATATAACTTTGTGATTTTATTATAAGGAGGCTGGGTTAATATTTCTAGGTGAAACAAGCTACTATACCAAGTTCAAACATCTGAAGAGGGAGGTTAAGAAACCCTGAGTGTGGGGTGTAAGGATTATTCTGTCCTGGGGCTGTGCAGACGTCGTCTGAAGCAGGGAGCAGGAGAAGAAAGGACACATTGTGACCCAATTCCAACACCTCCTGTGTGTAGAGGCGGAAGTTCCTTGCCTGCAGAGGGACACGCGCGGAGGAAAAATAGGAGAGTTACAACATGGCACTTACATAAACAACACCAAACTGGCATAAAACATCTAACAAAATTACACGACTTCAAGCTTGGAATTTTTATACAACATAAATATTAGGGTTCAGCCCATTTAATAATGCTATATAAAATCAAGATTTAAGGCAATAATGTTCCACATAAACTCTGAAAACAACATTTATGCTTCTTATAAAAGCAGAAAATGATTGCATTCTGTGGGCTTTTCAAAATGATGAATATAATTACATGAAGCAACAAAAATGGATTGAATTAAAAATCCACTAGTTTCAATTTAAGTTGGTTAAGGGGGAAAAATGTAGTTTCTGGCCAAGGACTGAGAAAATTTTACAAGTATCAAAAAAAAAAAAATGTTGTATATACTGTTAGGCAGTTGGGCAGCTTTCTCCCAACATGTATATGTAGCCCAAGAGTCACCAATGAAATTTGAGCTGCTTCAAACCTGTTAAGTCCAAGAAACCATTTAATAGTATCAACCGTCACAAGTAGAGCTGTTTTTCCCCCTTCCTCATGAGCACATGGCCACCTCTGGAATAATCTAGTTGTTTCCATAGTGTCCTTCTGGCATCTCTTGCAATTTAGCAAATTAGTATTCATTAGTTTGGGCTGGTTTAGACTGGCCATGCAGTATTGACTTAAAATCAGAGCAGTACCCCAGTGGAAGCACACTCCTGCAATCTTTAATTTCTCCCTGCCTCCATGGGTCAGAGGCCACCTCATAGTTCTCTTTTATTAAAAGAGAGCCAGATACTCCTGTAAGGGTTTTCCTAATATAGGCTAAGAGTGTGTGTGTGTGTGTGTGTGTGTGTGTGTGTGTGTGTGAGAGAGAGAGAGAGAGAGAGAGAGAGAGAGAGAGAGAGAGATTGATTTTGGGGAAGGGGCAGAAATGATGAACATATATCTAAAAGAAACAAATTCAACCTAGTGCTACATCCTATCAAATTGATAGACAGAGCCTAATAAATTTTTAATATTCTCTTAATTTTTTCTGAAATGACTTATTTGTGGAGGTTAGATTTCATGTTTTGATTTATATAAGACAATAATTTTGACAGTAACTTCTCAATGGGTAGATAGAATGATGTAGTTGGGCCACTACTGTAGATTATACTATTATCCTTCTGTTCTTAGATAAATCATTTGTGTATTTAGCTGCACCCTTGTTTGTTTACACATGCATATATGTATATATTCTCATTGCTTTATCTATTCTGATATTGAGCCATGGTGACTTCAAGGTAGATTAGATGGCAGTACAGTGGGATCTGGAAAACTTGGAAGAGACTGATAATAGGGAAAAAGAGCACAAGTATAGCTTGTGTGTGCTTGTAAGCATTAAATTCAAAGTGTGTATGTACATGCAAAGTGGTATTTAAATAAAAGAAAGTAAATATATATGTGTGTGTATATATATGCATATATATATCCCTCTTGAGTAAGTTTTATGCTACAATGTAGTTTCCATGAACCATAAAAAGAAGATAAAAATGGTAAAGTCTAGTACCTGGTGTAGAGGTATATTGATCTGCTTAAGGAGAGCTTTCACTGCCATCTGGAGCTCGTAGAAGAACAATTGCATGAGGCAGTCAGAAGTATGATCCACACTTTCCATAGATTCAGAGCCAGAAAGCTTTTGGATCCATTCCCACTCCTCTCTGTATGTTGAGTCAAGTTAAAATTAGAAATATAACAAAAGTTCAGAATACAACTTAGAACTTCTTTAGCATATATGTCCAGAACCTGGACAAGCAATTTTTGGTGGTTAAAACTTAACAAAATTCATAAAATTCGAACTTTTTGCCACCCGAATGGAGTTTAAAATAAGCTTTTTCTAATTTAAGCTTTTGTTCACCTATCAAGCCACATATGCCTCAGAATGCAGGTCTAATTTGTGTGCATTTTCCAAATGTCTAGGTTTTGAGATTGAAGCTTTCAAATATTTTGTAATAATTTCCTGACTGTCCTATTTTTCTTTCCCTGTGGGTCCTCCATAAGTTCTAAGAGCCTACATTTTACCACAGGGGCATCTGCTGGTTAATTCCATAGTTGGGTAACCACTGGACTCTTGTCCAACTCAGGCAGCAAATCACATGGCACATTTCAACCTTGTCCTGTTGTAATGGTGGGGCCTATTTTTGTTTCTTTCTTCTTCCAAAGCTTGAGGAATATCACAAACAGAAACACCAGACAATTTCAATACAAGGAAGTAAGGGACACACATCACTGCTTTTATCCTCCTCTCAAAACAGTCATCTATGTCTTCATTCTGCATGCTCTGTAGTCGTTCCTGATGAACTTTTCCAAATGTCATTTAGAACAGAAGGGAAAAGAATGGTGGTGGGAGGAAAGCACATCTGGTTTGTCCCTCAAAGGCTGCTCTTCAAAAAGAACTTGAAAAGATCAAGGTAAATGCCTCTTGGGTAACACTGTTTCCACAGGTATTTTAGCACAAGTCTTGAAACACATTCAGTTGGCCAGGTTTCTCCTTGGAACTCTGCAGGGAGCAGCAGTGTGCTCTCAGGAACAGGCTAGAGAGGAAAGGGGAGCCCTCTTTGGGGACAGAATGAGAGGAGGCGCTGACACATGTTCCCATCCTGTGAAAACCAGGGATTTCCCCAAAGGGTCATACCAGCCTTGTCTCCAATCTGTGTCAAATTGAATGTGTCATGAGCTTTTTCATCAAAAGCAAACAAACAAACACCATTCTCTTTTTTAAGCTATTCCTTCAGAATAGTTTTGCTTTTAAGATATGTTTCATATCAGGTCTCATACTGGAAAAGACTAGAACACTTATTCTTTGTCCCAATAAGAGGGAAAAAAAAGAATAAAAATTAAGCCCTATTGTATACTTTTGACTTTACAAAGAATTATCTTAAAAACTGTCTTGGTAACTATTTCTTCTTTCTCATCACTGATATTGAACTAAGCGAGAGGTTTATGGCTAGCTGAAGTGTACAAAAAGTCTAAAGAACCACATTTCTAAAATAGGGTCTCATAATCAAATTAGGAAATAGTCTACCAATATGGATATCATGAAACACATACCACTAACTAATTATTTTAGACTATGAGGATGAGGGAGATGGCCCTGGCAGAGCAAAGGTTATTGTAAAAATGAACTTTGGATAATTGGCAGAGGAAATTAGTTCATATAACCACTAATAGAGTATAAGCTATTAGAACATGATCTAGAAATGGATGAAAACAACCACTGCCAACTCAACACAAATATGAGTCATGTAACCTATTGGGAAGACAAAGATAACTAATGTTGATTGTTGAAATGACCACCAGAGGGCAGACTTAAAGTCCAGGTGTAGTTGATCAGTGAAAGGAGAGAATATGGTGGTCAATGAGTTCTTTAAGAGATTATCATCATCATCATCATTTATTCCACTATCATCAAATAATAGTTATGTAGTGAACCCTGAGAGATATAATAGTTAGTAAAGGAAGTCTTTCAATTTGAGGGCCATATTTTAAATGACCAAATTAGAGTCTACTTTGGTTGTAAGCAAATCCATAGGTGTAAATAGAATTTGAGGATCTAGTTTATTCTTTTTGAAGCAAATATATAATATTTCATTATATATTTCTTCTTTTTCATTTTTTAAATGTTTAACACAATTCAGTAAATTATAGTAGATTTTCAGAGGCCTGCTATTAGGGTTAGTTGTAAAGTTGAGCCAGATTACCAAGATTTTCCCAAAGCTAATAGGGTAATTCACCAAATGCCAAACCATACAGCAAATCTCCAACAGAGGCTCAGACCTTGTTACTTCTTTTCTTCCCTAGAGAACCAAAAGAGGCATAGGGAACATATAAGATTCTCAGGCCAGGGGGTTAGGAGTAAGGAGAATGAAGGTTTGAGGTGAGATTGGGGGATCCTTTAAGATTCAGTAGCTTTATCAGATTCCATTCCCATAGAGAATTTTAAAAACAATGAACAAAACAAACATGACTTTTAGATTGTGAAGAAAAGGTATTATAAATAGCAATTTGGGAAGAAAAGTTCATGTGTTCATTAATCAGTTGAGCATCAGTGCTTGTACCATTAATAATGCAGAGGGAAACATGGAAAGACAGTACTCCCTTTTAATAGGCTCACTCATTCCACCAACCCACAATGGAAGCCCTCCTTATCCTAGTGTTAAATCTCAGCTGTGGCATTGCTCCAGTGTGCTGTGGGATATCTCACCATAGAAACTGAGCTGGCAAGTAATGTTTCATTTTCCTTTGGGCACATCAAATTGGTCACTTGAGCCATTGTTTCATCACAAGGAAAATTCTGACTCTGACCACTTACTTGGAAATGTTATTGTTTTCACGGATCTTCACATGGCAGAGGATGTTGGGTAACTTTTGAGTAACAAGAACTTTGATCTGATCCACAGAGCTACATAGTTTTAGGTAACCTAGATATAATCCAGGAGAGAGACGCTGATGACTCCTTTTGTGATAGGAGAGAATATCCTGTAGAGGGAAATAAGACAAAATAAGAAATCACTTTGAAAGACACTCTCCAAACCTTATTCTCTTTAAGGTGGGCCTGTCATGAATGATAGGCACTGAGAATGATTAGGTGAGGAACCATAGGTACAACCATGAATATAGGGGGAGTGTTGGTTTTGCAGCTATTCTCACCTTCAGGAGAGTTCTCCTCCAAGTTAGGTAATCCACCTTTAACATAAGTCTGCCTGCTTGTTTTCCTCACATTTCTTTGCCAAGGCTAGGTGTGTGGGTTTTGATGGAATAAGCTGTTAGTGGTGGAGGTAAATAATAAAGAAAGAGAATTCAGAATTTCTATCCTTGGAGGACTGACTGTTTAGCTTGGAGAAACAGACATTTGCCAGTATAAAAGCTGACAAAGCAGTTTCAGGAAGCTTCATGCTTTCAGGAAAATTAAAATGGAAAAGTCCATTATAAATGAAACCATTTAAATCAGAGTCAAAATTTTATAGCAAGTATATATAAAAGGTTGATTGGTTCTGTATCTTAAAAAAGTAATCATGAGATAATAATTTTATGTTATTAACATTTAAGTTGTAGTTATAGCTTAATTCTGAGAATGAGTTAAGCATTTATTCCCTTTTTTTGGGGGGGAGTTAATTCTTTAGACTAAATTATAACTGAAATGGTACTCCTCATACTTGATTTTCACAAAGTCATCATGAAGAGGATAATTTTTGCAAAAATATTTGAGGGCTTCAGAATTTCTTTCCTGGAATCTTAAGACATTTTTCCTGGAATCTTAAAATGTTCTTATACAGTTCTTGTTCATTTTGTGCTTGTCAATCATAACTAGTCTACTAATCTTAGAGTCTCAATTGTCAGTGGCTTTGCATGCTGATTAGGTCTCCACATTATCTTCATGAGCTTCACAAAATTCTGCATCTTTTGCAATATTTAAAATTTTGCTTTGCAATGGATTGGCATTGGATTTACATTGTATTATCACATCAAAATATTCTACAGGCTGCAGAGACTGAATGCAGTTGTTGATAGAGTAGAAAATGCCAACTAAGTACAGAGAGATATTTGAATCAATTCTTGTTCTATTTGTGATCAGTACCTAATGAACTATTTGGGTTATGACTTTTGCCTCCCTGAACAACTGCAGGGACTCATAGTGAATAATTAGAAAACACAGTTCTCTTTCCCTTCTGCCCATATTAGTAGATAAAGCTTTTTTTTAAACCTTTGGGTAGAAGGGTGTGAGAAATTTAGGAGTGATGAATCGGGTAATGATCATAAGGGAAGATTTCCTATAAGCTTGGTTTTCACTAAGGGTAAAATAACTAAGATAAAGTTTCAAAAGTATCAACATACACACACACACACACACGCACACACACACACACCACACACACACGAGATAAGCCAATGAGGTGATAGGTATTCCAATTAGCTTGATTCAATCATTCTACATTGCCCACATATATCAAACATCACTATGTACCTCATACATGTTTACAATTAAGATTTGTTCAAAAAGTATTAATAAAGATGAATAAATAGGAGCAAAATAAAGGGAATCAACTCTCTACTAAATGTAGATGAGGCAAGAAATAAACAAACTTGTATATATGGAAGAGAAAGGTATGAGGCTTCCTCTGTGCTCTGAAGGAACAAGTTCTCATCTGTAGGATTAACTATTTGCAGAATCTAACATACTCTGTTGTGTATTGTATCGTCTGTCCCATCTTTATGAAGCTTGAATTCCCATGGTTTATTGGTCACTATGGGAAATATTGGGGTTTCTGGTAAAGGTGATGTGATACCTACTCTTGAGGAGGTAGAGAAAGATGAATAAATTGGTGATTATAACATACTGAAGTCAATTTTATAGTAGAGACAACAACATGGTAATTGTAGAAAAGGACAAAATAAAAAATGGTCATATTTGGGAAGACAATATAATATGTACAAAAAAAGCAATCTTCTCATCAAGAAGGATGAATTGTTATTACTACCAGGATGAAAAAGGCCGAACTTACTAATATTTTCAATCGTGTTTCTTAAAAATAGATCTTAGGTAAGCAGTTGACTCAAAGTTTGGTCAAGGTAAGTGTTTTAGGAAATAAACAACTAATTAAGGAGAGAGAAATGGTTAATGTGGGAATAAAAAATAGAAGGATATACATTCATTGCCAATTCTTCTTTGATCAGAAGAATTTGATCATATGCAACCTAGGGGCACTTACTGAACAAGCAGATGTGGCTATGGACTCATGGGTCATTATTTTTGAGAAGTCATAGAGAACTAGAAAAGTCCCTCAAGACTACCAAAGGACAAATATGCCTGGCTTTGCAACAGAAAGGGGAAAAACACAGGATGACCCTAGTAATTAAAGACCTTCGTCATATTGATCTTTAGGAAAAATGAGAAAGAACCATCAATCAAACATTCAATTTGCAGTCACACAGGAAATCCCAAGGCACTAAAGAGGAGTCACCATGGTTTGTGAAGAGCAATCATACAGACAACTTTAATTTCTAACAGCTATAAAATAGGATTCACGGACCAAGGAGAAGTCTCCAGTGTAATCTGTGTCATTAAGATAACCTGAAAACAAGCAGAATCATGACAACATTATTTTAAAAAGCTGAATATCTGGGTTGAAGATTTGTTGTTAATGAAGATGGTATTGGAATAGTATATAGATTGAGTGATGGCTCAGGAGGGATTGGTCCAGAGGACCAATATATTCAGTTTATTTATTGACATTCCAGACAAAGAAAATTAAGAATGTGTGTGTCAAATTTGTGGGTCCCAAATTTAGTGTGGTTTTGATTTTCTGGAAAATAGTAATAAAGCTATGAATGACCCAATGTATTGGAAAAATAAGCCTATCATAATTAGGGTTGAAACTTAATAAGAAAATGTGCTTGTAAAGACTCAAACCCAAGAGTACAAAGATAGGATGGGTCAGGGTATGAGAGAAAAACATGCGAGTCAGAAGTGACCACAAATAGATTGTGAGTTAGGAACATACCATGGTTTTATAAAAACCAACACCATTCTGGGATGGAGTAATTCACTATTTCATTCAATTTTTAAAGGACTATTACTGAGCATCTACTATGAATTCCCTTGCTTTTACATAGTCATTTGTTCTTTATTGGTCAGAATGCTTTTGCAACCTGAAAAATGCTTGGGAAGAGAAATAAGCTTAAGTACACTAGAAAGGCCCTGTAAAACCAAAATGGATGTCTATAGGTCTATATATTACCTGATTTAGCCTCTAACCTGCATTTCTAGCCTCTACCTTCCATTACAGCCCTTTTGTGTCCCCTATCTTCAGCCATAATGGATTACTTTTTCTGTCTGCATACATTCCCGAATTTCTTTCTCTTTTTTTGTTAGTTTATTCACTTATCCTACCAACTTTTATTGAGAACCCACTATGTGTAAAGCATTATGCTAAGTTATTAATGACACCAAGATGAACAAGACATGATTCCTCCCTTCATGGAAATTAACATTTCAGTGTATGGGAGAAATATGTAAGCCAATTTTTCTAACCCACCATAAAGGCCATAAGAAGACTGTAAGGTCCGTGTGGAACCAAGGGAGGGTGACGATCTACTCTTCCAACTTCTGCCTCATTTCTTTACTATTTCCTCTATTTAGTTTAATTCCTCCTCACTCCCTTCTCTTGCTGTCTTTTCTCCATCTGATAAACTTAACTTACCTTCATGGCTCAGCCAAATGCCACATCTTCTGCAATACCTTCCCTGATATTTCCAGGCAGAATTAATAGCTGCTTTGTGTGTGCTCCCATAGTACACTGTTTGTACTGCTATCGGGCTCTGGTTTAATTCTGCCTTGTATTACCTTGATTTGTTTACAAGTCTGTCTCCCTCCCTTGACTGAACTCCTTGAGAGCAAGGACCTTGACTTATTCATTTGTTTTTCATATAGCACCTAGAAGAGTGCCTGGCACCTCCTTGGTGTTGGAAAAAACTGTTTATTCAATATGAAGTGAAAGGCCCAGAGGTGGTAGGTTCTGGGGCTGGGCCTCTGGGGGAAAATATGCTATGTGGGTGAGGTAACTGGGAAGGGCATATCGATCAGATATCCTGAGATCTTTTCAAGGGAACAATAGATAGATGCTTTTAAGATAACTGCAGGGCCTTTATTGTGCTGGATGAGGTGTGGAAGCTGAATTGTGTAGGGTAGTACAAGTCACAAAATCGTGACTGGTAGTCTTTGCAAGACTAAGATTGTTTAGACCACAAAGAATTTTAATTTTCTGAATTGTTTCCCAAATTTTAAAGAGATTTCACCCTTCACTCTGGATTTCTAACTTCTCTTAAAAAGCAGAGCATACTTAATCAATGGGATTACATTTTTACACTGTAATAGCTGAGGCTGAATAGGAATGCCTCCTTAGATAGGACAAGGACTCTCCAGATTAATGTAGTCCCTCTTACTTTCACTTCTTTCTTTTTTAAACATTATAAGTCATATACCATAAAATCCATCCTCTTAAAGCATGCAATTCAGTGGTATTTAGTATGTTTACAAGGTTGTATAACTATCCACCACTGTCTAATTCTAGGCCATTTTCATCATTCCAGAAAGAACCCTCACATTCATTACCATTCTCCAATTTCTCCTTCTGTGCTTGTAGAACCACTAATATGAATTTGCTTATTATGGATATAGCAAACATTTAAATGCAGTCATACAATAAGTGGCATTTTGTGTTGGTCTTCTTTTACTTTGCATAATGTTTTCAAGGTTCATCCATTCTGTAACATGGATCTTCATTCATTTTTATGGATAAATAATATTCCATCATATGATTGCACCACATTTTGTGTACCCACTCATCAGCTTTCTTGGATTTTCAGATCGTTTCTACCCTTTGGCTGTTATGAATACTGATTGTAAGAATATTGGTGAATGAGTTTTTGTGTGAACTCAATTGTTTCTTAAGTCATTAAGAAATTAGCTTATTTTCATTAATCTTTCTGATTCCTGTAGGTTTTGATACTTATGTTAGTTGCTGCTTGGGGATAGAAAGAATAGGAAAGTGCAGGAAAACAGTAGAGAAGGGCGGAAGAAGTAGTTGGTCTTGGGTACCTGCAGTGTAAGAAGATATTGGGTACCTCCAGATGTCAAGAAGAGGAGAGGAAAACAGGAATGGGAGGAGAAAGAGGACAGCCTCACCATGATTTCCCTGGACATATCTTAAAGAAAGTAGGCAGAGAAAGCAAGGTGGTGGAACGGGAAGGGGACCAGGGATGTGGGTCCTAGTATCTCATAGTGCTGCATTTCAGCTGATATGACTTTGCCCAGCTATTTCCTTGAAATCCATGGCCTCATCTGTGCACTAGACAATAGAATTACTCAATCTCAACTGAGTTTTCATGAGAATAAATAATATAGATGTGACAAAGTATTACAAAGTTAGAATTAACATGTGAGAGATTAATTTTCAGGAGAAACTTCACGTATGAGGTGTTCAATTACTGAAATAACCCCTGAAGAGAATAACCCAGCACCCAGAGCGGCCTTCTTATTGGATATACATTCATTGCCAATTAGGTTGCTTAGAGGGACTCTAAATGATCCATATCTCTCTTTTCTTTTGCAGGAAAGCATGAGAACAATTTTTCTCTTATAGATACTTGAGAGAGGTCAGTTGTGAAGGTCTGCATTTGAGGAGATCAGGATGTTGAGGGAGTTGGGTATTGGAGCTTCCCTGGGGCCCTATGGATTAGTAGATTAGTTACAGGCTGAGATTTTGTTAGAGTCTTGGCCTGTTATTGAAAACCCTATTGTAGATCATATAGTTTTTAAAAGATATTTTTTAAGTTGTCAATGGCCCTTTATTTTATTTGTTTATATGTGATGCTGAGAATCGAACCCAGTGCCTCACACATACAGGCAAGTGCTCTACCACTGAGCCACAGCCCCAGCCCTGATTATATAGTTTTTATACAGACTTTCCTAATTATTATGAAAGATGAATGAAGTAATGAAATGTCCTAAGGGATGGCTGGGCTAGTGCCAGAGGTATCCCAGGAGAGCAGGGAAGAAGAGGTGGATGGGGTGTGTCCTTAGGAGAAATAGTATTGCTTGGATTTTTCTGAGTGAAGAAATAATAAAAAATCATGAATGTTTACTGTGCTACTCTTCTACTGCTTTACATATTAACCCATTAAATCGTCATTAGAACCCTGCGAAATAGAGCTTTTAGAGGAGGAGGAGGAGGAGATACAAGAGGTGAGAAGTTAAGTAACTTGCTCTGGTCACATAACTAGAAAGGGTGGGGTCAGGAGTCATACCCAGTCAGCCTGATTCCAAAGTTGTGAGGTAGCAGGAGAAAACCTAGGTTTCCAATCAGGTTGCCTGATGGTCATCACTCCACTGCCCTGAGAAAATCAAGTGGTTTGTAGCCTGTCAATGTGGGAATTACCCAGACTGCTTTGGGCCACCATCAAGACCTAGCTCAATCCTCATTTTAAGCTGGTGTAGCCAATTTAAATCTGACATAATTAAATCTTAAATCTATAACTGATTGGATACCAGCCCTAGGATTTTTATTCCCCACTTCCTCTCCAGCATAGGACCTGTATGGGAAGGTGGGGAGGGAGAAAAAATGGGGGGAAGAAAAGGGAGAGTGGGGTGGGTGGGAATGACATCAAGCAGGAATGCGCCAGTCAGTGGGGGTAAATTTTCCACTTGGATCTGTGTGGAAACCTGATCCTGCCTCTATTTTTGGTCTCCTTCTCTAACAACCTTTCACCAGATTGGAATTTTTCTGCACCTGTAACACATTTTTAATGTAATAAGTCTAGGAGAAACCAGGTATTATATCATGCTGGGGCCTGGGCTGTGTTTCTAGGAGCAAAGGTAGCCCAGACCCCAGTTTATCCCTATAGGGGATTAGTGTATTAGTCACCCTGTAAAAGCTCAATTTATTATGATTTTTTAAATGTTTCTTTTAGCACTTGCTTATAAAAGGTGAAGAGGGGAGCCACGAATGTGTCTGTGTTCCCTGCCTCCACCACCTCCACATATGAACGTACACTCTCTATCAATTTCCTATGAACCCACATTCCATAAAATCAAATCCAGAGGCATTGGCTTTGACCAATTAGCTTACCCTTGCTGTGTTGGACTTTTGTCCTGCTTTGGGCCAGTGCAAGTAATGAACAGATGAGATTATTGTACCAGACACCCCTCAGTTGGGAATGAAAGGAAGTTAGAAAGTAAATTAGCTGTTGAAGGTGACCATGAGTGGCTATTGGGGCCAACGTGCAGATTCAGCTTGTTCATGTGTGACTGAGCCCTTTCTTTCCTGTTACTCCAGATGGGATGTCTGGTGGATATATGCCATTTGTTTCATGGGGCTTAGAGTAGCTGTTTCTGCCAGTTTTTCTACCTAGATGTTGAGTTCTATACAACTCACACTCATCATAGGGTTTTAAGGGTGGGGGAGAGAAACAGTGAGAAACAGTTTGATGTCCATGTTTACATGAGAACACTTGAGGCAGAGTGGTTGCTGGGACAGAGCATGCACTTACGAATAGACATGGGCTTGTGTACCACTGCTGCCATCCAGGCCAAGAGTCTGCATCCAAGGTGCTTGGGTTCTGAATTTTGGTGCCTATTCACCAAGTACTCAGATGAGTATTTCAGGCTTTATTTCATCTTCCATCCCTCATTCACTAAAATCCTAACTCCTATCCCAAGATGGGTTGTGACAGAGCAGAAAGAATCCAGCTTCCAATCAGAAGATCCGAGTTGAAATCTCAGTTCTGCCATTTTCTAGTTGTGTGCCCAAGAATGCATTCCATGTTTTGCAGGGTTTGAAGCCAATACAGTTTCTGATACAAAATTATCAATGCAAAATTGCCAGGGTGCTGATCAGTGCCTTGAAAGGGCTTGTGCAAGTAAAGAGCTGAGTGACATAGAAGCATCATTAACTTCACTAAATTGACCTCTGTGTATACCCTCGTGTCACTTAACCTGTTTGAACCCTGGTTATTTATTCCTAAAATGGATTTAATAATGCCCGTCTGTTCTAAGAAAGTATTGTACAGAACAAGCAAGAGTGAGTATATGTCAAAGTGTTTTTGTTCAGTATCATATACATATAAATGTATCCAAACACACAATCTACATGTATTATTTTTACAGTCCAATCTGGTATTGGTTTGATGTCTTGGATATATTGTGGATAGATACTCAGTCATTGGTCTGAGTGTTTCTTATTGGTTCAGTTGGTCAGGGAATTTTCAGAGCCATCATTCTGTGTATTACTTGACAAGTTCCAGATCTAGAGAGGGATAAATAAAAATAAGTTTGGCATCTTTCCTATGTGTGGAGTATGAGGAATGGCCCATCTCTGGAATCTCTCTACTCCACCACTGCATCTGTAGATGTTTTTTGGTATATTTCACTAGAGCCTACATAATAGTATTTGGGATTTCAAATACATCAGAACAATGAAAAACAAAACAATTTGTACCTGGATGGTTATCAGTAAAATATCTAAGGCTGTTGGTTCCTCTGGTGTTGATAGAGACTTCCTCTGGCTTTGAAGCTTTGAGATCTGCATCCATTTGCCATTAAAAAAGGAATAAAGCATCTCCACCTCTCTGATGGTGACTATGAGTATGTTTCCATGCCGGTCTTTAATGGGCTCATAGTAAACTCTTCCCAAGTTGTGTGTTCCAAGTAAATTCTAGAAATAAATAGATTACTGGTAGCTTAGATGATATTATTAAAGAAAATGAACACAATTGCAACAAAAGATGTGAATAATTATCTGATTTCTGAGAAGTGTTTTTAAGACTTAAACCTAAAATATGTGGCATCATAGAAATGTTTTTAACAGAGGCTCAAAGAAAATATCTTCACCATGAGCCTGCAAAGATTATAGCAAGAGGCACAAATATTATGTTTTTTTAAGCAAATTCAATATCTGTAAATATCTCTTACCCACATAGACACACCAGCACATAAACCTCAGTTACCAGCACTTGAAGAGAATCCCAGATGTTTTAAAGAAAAATGCCTGATATTTCAAGTATGCTATTTGTGGAGTTTTCAAGAGATCTACAGTAAGCTAGTATGAGGTGGGGTTGTTTAAAATGAAGAAGTGAATTGACAATGTAGCACATTGTACAGATCCCCAAATGACTGCACATTCCCTTCAAGATGCTTTAATTGAGAGATTGGCCTGGTTTGACTTATCTGTGTTTCGGTGAGTTTCACTTATTTAAAGATTTGTTAAAATTTCTTATGAACTAGGTCAACTAAGGCAGACAATACTTTTAGAAAGGTAGGAAAGGAAGAATGCCACACTAAATGTGGAGGGGTCTGGGTGGGTACTACTAGAATCAACAGGAGTTTTACAAATATGCAGGGTGTGAAGATTTCTAATGTAGAGCACTGGATGATTAGCATAAAATCCCTTCTTGCTTTAAATATGTTTTTTTAAAAAAATAATCCCAAAGCTCCCAGTTGGTACTTTTGTGAACTCATATAAACGATGATGAGATGACCTGCTAGCATTAAAGCAAAAGTGAATTGGAAATTGTAAAAATGACAAGGCTGTCCTAAAAATAAATGAGCCAGCTGGTTGGTATTCATGTCTGTGAAAACACTGGAGTAAGGACTATGTCTTAAGCTTCTTATTCTTCAAAAAGATCAGACGCATAATGAGTAAGGGATTTCATAATTATTAGTATATCATAAAAAATCATTTGTCAGAATTATTATTTTCTAAAAATAGTCTAATGTCTCAGATTTTTTCTTTCTAATAAATTACTTCTAAATCAGAGTAAGTTTGGATAAGCTTTTTAGTTCAGTCCTATGTAGTCCTATGGTTTTATATAGAGGCAGTTTGCTAAATATGCAGTGGCTATGCTTGTAAATGGGCTATGAATCAAAACAAAAAAATGGGGCATGACTGATTTGTAGCATATACCAATCTCTGTGGTGTAAATATTCCTGCCACAGTTGATTTTAGGCTACCCAGGATATAACACCAAGTTTTCAATATTCCTGAATATGTAACAATTGGTTCTCTTGAGCCAGTTAGACTCAGCCTCAGCCACCACTGCTATTAAGACTTAAACTGATACTGAGTTTGAGGGCTGGCTGCCATTCATTAATAGCTGGACTGTTTATTCTCTCTGATTCTGAGTTTCACTATCTTAATTTAAAATTTTTTCCTTCTCAGACATCTCTTATGATAATCCTTACCTCTTAAGAGTGTTTGAGGAGTTAAACAATGCATGAGAAAGTATTTTGCAAACTCTCAAGCTTGCTACTAAATGGTGTATGGACTTTCTTTTCTGCTCTAATTGGAGTCCACCTTGGCTTACACCTACTCATTTTCAAGATACAGCCCTTTCAGTCTTTCCTTCTCTGGGTAGATTTTCCTAAAGCTCTGACGTAGAATTTACCATCTTCTTTTTCCCTGTTGCTTCTTGTGCAAACTTCTATCTTAGCACATCTTTGACTTTACTGCATAAGATTGATGTTCATGTAATAAGATTATGATTGTTTCATCTTTCATGATTATGTCTCTGAGTCCTTTGCATAGTGTCTGGCACATATGGGAGAACTCAATTGTTTGTCAACTCAATTAACATACATATTTTCATTAAGACATTGGAAATTATGATTTGCTGTGGACCAAGGCTGATGGATATACACTGATTGAGATGGTCATTTCATTTGTATAGGGTTAATGTCATTGGTTCACTGTCAACTTTGAATAGGTTTTCTAATGGGATTAATAAGAAGACACTAAAAATCTTCCTGAAATTCTTCATTGACATTAATTGGGTTGGCTAGTTAGCTTGGGTGTGGGGTGCAATTAAAAGTGAATATTTTTGTGAAAATAAGTTGAAGCTGTATTTCAAAGAGGCAGATTCAGGGTTCTTTTGGGCCTAAAGGAAAAAAATTGACCATGTTAATACCTGTCATACTAAGGAATCAAGGTTAAGTTTCTTGATGATTCTACAGGGTAAAGAGGAATAAGAGCACTTGATAGTTGGCAGGATGCATTTAGATTATAAACAGAACATATTAAAAGACTAGCAACAAACCCTGACTACAGGCACATTTTTAGAGATATGTATTTAGATTAAGGTGACATGAGAAGTTTAAGGAAGTCCAGAGGCAGGAGGTGAAGGCCTAGAAAAGAACAATAAAGTTTTGGGAAACCCCCTTTTTTCCCTCTCCTGAGAAAGGGGAAAAAACACAATATCATCAAAAAGTGTCACCTAATTCTTACTCATTAACACTAATTTCTTAAAAAACTATGGAGGATGAAAATTTAATGTAATACAATTTACACTTTTCAGATTATTCCTGTGTTTTGAGATAAGTAGTATAGATAACATCTGTGAGAGCAAAGTATACTTCTGTCTCTTCCTAAGAAGAGAACTTTGCTATTTTTCTGAAAGAAAGAACACAATGCTAGGTCTTAGTCACTTGCAGGCTTTCTTGTCTTTTTTTTTCTTCCCCAAATGCTAACAGATACTGTCTCTCTCTTTCTGCCTAGATAATTTTAACTAATTAACTAATGCATATTTTACCTTCTTTTAAATAAAACAATAAAAGGCTGCTTCTAAGTAGGCTGCAAATGATGTGGAATATATTTCTACTTTTTCTTTTTTGATATAGTATGGATAATTTCTTTAAAAACTTTGCCCACTTTTTTTTTTTTGTAAATTAGCACACAATAATATGTTAAAGTATTGGGAAGAATACAGTCCTTGGAGATACATGGATCTGGATTTGAATCCATAAGTACCACTTTCTATTTGTGTGACCTTGGACACAAATTAGCCTTTCTTGGTCTCAGTTTTATCATCTGTTAAGTGAATATCAATACTAGTACATTGTTATCATGTTATAGTGAAGATTATATGAGATAGAGTTTGTAAAGCACTTAGCACAGTGCCTGGCACCTATTCTGTTAAACAAATAAAAGTTGTTGTTCTACTATTATTATTTACTATTATATATTAATTAAAGGAGGATATTACTATATAGCAGAAACAGAAAACAAGGATTAAATTGTACCAATTGGTATATACCACGATGAAGGTTAAGTCAGTGTGCAATAGACACAGAGGAGGAAGAGAAAGATTGTGATTAAGGCTCCATAGGCCATGATAAAATACTGGGCCACTGTTGAAAGGATAGGGAATACTGTGGTCAGGACATTTTAGGTTGCTACTCTAGAAGAAGTGTGGAGAATGGATTGAAGAATAAGAATGGAAACAGAGGGGTGACTTTGAAGGCTTTTGATGAAACTGGAGTAATCAGGCAGTAGTAGTAAGAATGGAAAGAGGAGGGGAGTAAGATGAGATATGCAAGAGGTGAACTAACAGGATTTATATATGGCTGATGCCAATGAGGTTATATATAATATATTTTTACTATCCTCAGAACATTGCAAAATTTTTTTTAGATTAGTAAAGTGACTTAAAATATTTTATCAATTCACAAGTTTATTTTTCCTCTTCATCTGAAAAGTTTTTTTTTTCCTGCACCTTACCCCTCCCCTGACAAAAAGGTGCTAGGCGTTTCATATTTCATTAAACTTTCATTTGTTTAACAGAGACTAGGTGCCAGGCACTGTGCTAAGTGCTTTACAAACTCTTATGTCATTTAAACATATCATATTTCTAGACATTTTCATCCTAGAGACCAGAAAATAGTTTGGGCAATAGAGCCCACAGCAAAAAATTAAAGCAACTTTATTATTTAATTGGGCAAACAGAAACATGAAGGAGAGAAAGGAATGTATAACATGCTTTTGATGAGGGATCTGTAAGGTGCTGAATATTTATTGAGGACTGAGGCTCTGACTGCTATGCAGGGCTGGAGAAATATCCAGGTATTAATTATGGTATGAGACACATTTTTGCGATCACTTTCCATTTGGTTAGATGGAGTTTCCCTTAACTGCAATTTTGGGGGTCTCTGGGGTTGAGATGACAAATATAATACTCATCCAACTAGTAGGTACTGAAGGCCCAACATATACCAGGTGTTGGGGATATAGACGTAATCAAGATAGACATATTTTTTAAACTCATGGTCATTATTTAAAGTCATGGTCCAGGTGGATCACTATTCAGATAAAGATAAAACAATGAATGGGATTATGGCCATTGTTCTGAAAGGAGAATACAAGATGCTATGGGAATGAGTCACCTAATCAGAAGATCAGAGAAAGGAAGTATAAAAATTAAGCTGAGACTTGAAGGAATGTAAGAATTATCAAGAAAAAGAGGTAGAAGAAGAGGACTCTGAACAGAAAATAGCATGTGACCTAGCAAAAGAGAATGGGAAAGACAGACCAGACAGCTGGAAGAAAATCAGGGGAGTGTGGAATTGTGGAAGCCAATGAATATGCCAATTTGAAAAAGGAGAAAGGGACCACATGTGTCCAATGCTGCCGGGATATCAATTGCAAAGAGGACTTAAAGTCGTCACTGGATTGAGTGAAACGAGGTAATTGACAGAGATGAAAATGGAAAATTTTGGGGGGGGCCTTCACTATTATCATTTTGGGGATATCATTAAGAGAAAGAATACAGAATTGCAAATATAAAATTAGGTATAAATGAATATTTATTTAGAATGAGAAAAGAAGCCCTACTTCTCCTACCTCTCCTGTCCCCTCTCCCTTATATACTGGAATTTTTGGTCCCCTTTTCTCCTCAAAATTTCTTTTAGACTGTTTATCAGAATGCCTCTTGATTTCAACCCAGCTTCTCCTCCTCACCTAAAACACATCAGGACTTCCATTCTCACAAGGGCTCATGCAGGCTTTATTAGCATTATTTGCCTCTGATTACTTGTGGCCTTAGAGTGCAGTTTTACAGGCATAGTGGCAGCAAAAGTGACAGAGAGGGCTGAGGGTTTATGGGAAATGAGGAAGTAAATGGAAAAAGATAATGTAGGTAATGTTTTAAAAATTTTGGGTGTAAGAGGGTAGGAGAGAGATTGTTAGGTAGCTGAAGGGGAAAGTGGTTAACATTCCATGTGAGAATTTGGGGGAGGTCAAATTGGCAATACTAGAGTATTTTTAAATTAGCATGGGTGGGGGGGCATGAGACAGGATCCAGAGTTTATGTGGAGGGATGAGCCTTTGGTAGGAGGAGTGAGATTTTAGCTGTTGGAATAGGAAGGAAGAAGGAGAAGGTAGGATCAATGCACGGAGGTTTGTAAATTTGGTGAAAAAATTATTCCCATACTCATTTATTTACTTAATGAATTAGACAGTAAAGCCATCACCTGAGATGGAGACAGAGAATGTGGGGAATGGGGTGTGGAGGAAAGGAGAAGGCTTTAAATAGTTGCTTTATAGTGTGAGAAAGCAATTTATTAAAAAAAATGGAATGGGACACTAGTTAACATTCCATGTGAGAAGTGCACTCATGAATGAGTTTAACACAAACACAGTCAATTTTCCTCTTTTGTGTGTGATATTTTTTTTTCCTGCAAGATGCAACTACTTTAATAGTTTTTTCCTGCAAGATGCAAGCAAGATGCAACTACTTTAATATAGACATATTATACTATATCATTCAGACTTGAGCTTTTCCCCAGTAAACAATAGGAGGGAAAACATTTAGAATATTTTCAAGGGGATGATTATGATAAATAAATCAAAATTTAAACAAGGCATAATGCATTATGAAAAATGATAGGATCAATAGATTTAGAGGCCAAAAAATCTAAGACTATTGCAATAAGAGTAGTTGAGTGGGGTCACACTGGCCATCATGGTATCTCTCAGCATCTGACTTCATTGGCTTGTAACAGCCTGATCCTTCTCATGTTACTGATATCAGATGAAAGTGTTCTAGGAAGCCTCCAATAAACACATGATAAAGAGCCTTGCTTGAAATTCCAAGGTTGCTCAGTCTACAATCCATGCAGGTCTGGGCTGCCTGGTGAGCTAATGTGAGGGTCCACTAAGGGGTCGGAGTCCCCTGGGTATGTACTTCAACCTAAACAACGAGAAGTTTGAGAGAGAGTGGTATGGTCCAATCAAGTGGCTCAGTGATGAAAGGAAGGAATACTATGAATTCAGCATAGTTTCCATGGCCCAGTTCCAAGAAATTCTCCTTGAGTTTAGGAGAAGACTCTGCAACAAAGAGTAGGTTGAAATGAAGAGAACTGTTTGTTAAAACCTCTGAGGCCACTGAGGACACAAGGCAGTAAACAACCTATGTAATGAAGTACAGCACAGAGGGGCAGCAGTAACCTTTCAGAATTAATTTTATTAGCAACACAGTAATTATTATTCATGCAGAGGATTGAATTATTATTATTGTAGGGGCTCAAGAAATGAAGTTTCCATAATTGTAGGGAGGAATAGATTTTTTTCATGATCTTATTTTAATACCATGGCTGGTATGACCTAGTCAAACACAACTTACATAGATTCCTGTCTGCAGATTTCTAAGTTTGATGTTACTGTTAGCTTTGTAGGTAGTTACCCATCTCTGAAAAAGACTCTGTGATCTCCTAAGGACCCTGACTTCATTTAGCAGATGATTTTCTGTGCTAAGAGGCACAAATTAAGGCCATACCAGAAAACAATGAGAGGAAAACCCAGAAAAACTTGTTTAGAATTCAATGCCATTTCTAGAAAGAAGATTTGTGACCTTCAAAGATTATTACAGGATTAGGGACTTGATCTAATTTGAATGATAATATGGAAGAGCTGTTTTAAGAGTTGTTTTTGGTTGTTTATCCTTTGTGAGTAAGCACAAATGCCTATGGCTTTACCAAAAGTGTCACATTCAGAAACCCCTCAAAACATCTGCTGGCTTCTGTTTCCTTTTCCACACATTCATTGATGCATAGGCTGCCAGAACAGCAAGAATCCCTCAGGTGATCTAGTCAAACTCTTCTTGTTTTGCAAGTGATGAATCTGAAGCCCTTAAGAAGAACTGAGTTGTTGAACAATTAATATCAAATTTAGAATGTAAGTTTCCTAAGTTCTTGTTTAGGGGGTCATGCCAAAGGCATAGCCTCCCACATAAGTAGACATGCAGCTCAAACTGTCCAAGATGCCTTCATGTGTCTAGAGATCTGAAACAGGAAGGAACCCACCCTTTTCCTTTCCAGGTAAGACTGATAAGTGAATGCTCCAACTTAAAAAATAAAAAAATAAATAAAACACTTCCTTGAGAGTTGGGGTTGAAATTTTTTCCCTCACCTGTAGCTGGGCAGTTGCAGTGAGCATCTTCTGCCGAGTTTGTAGCACTGTGGATGAAGACATGGAGATAGGTACGCTTTGCCTCAGCCACCTTATGTCTTCCCACATACAAGACAGCTGCAAAAGAAGTCACGAGGTCATATCATCATCCAAGCCAGTGCGTGATTTAGGTTGTGGCATCAAAGCAAAGCTGGGAGAAGGAAACCTGAACCCTGGTGTTTGTTCTCCAGTCCATTTTCAGATACACACGAAACAACTTTTTGATCTCTGTCCAATTGGAAAAAGATCTGAATGCTAATGAAACAGTCAGATCCACATTTTAGTCTTTGCCAAATGATCCCATAACTCAGAATAGTGGAGACATACTCTGACAGGATGCAAGCTTCTTTGCTTTGAAAATGTAGTGTAGACACTACTTTGGTGTTTTTTATGACATAGAGCCTATTAGGTCTGAAAGGGACTTTTAAGATAATTTACTTCCACCCCCAAAACTTTGATCATTAGAGACCCCCTCAACTAAGGTTTCAGAGATTTATGTGCAGAACACTGATGCAAAGTGGGAAAAAAATGGAATCAGAACTCAGAATACCTTTGTGAACCACAGAAAATCTTGTGTAATAGAACTGGTGTGAGAATCATCTATTTCAACAATTGGTATTTGATCTTCATTGGTGACTAACATGTTGTCTTTATAATAAAATATAACTGCTATGTAGAGTCCCCTAAAAAGAAAAAGCAAAATAAAAAAAATTGTCTTCAGCTGTCTCCTCTACCCAACTCACTCTTAGAAAAAAATATTTTTTACATGATGAAATATGAATTTAAAACATAGTCCTGCTATGTCTATCACAAGAACTCAGAGAAATTACTATCTTGCCTAAATTTTCAGGAGAATTTACTTCTTTAATAAAGAAGAAATTTCTACCAAGTTTCTACTCAGAATCAAAACCAGATCATTCCTGAGAAGTTAAGACTTCCTGGAAAACTATATAAGACCCACCGTTTCAAGGTCTTCACAAACTTATTGGAGGAATGGAAAAGGTGTTTCAGGCTCCTCGATACTGACTGCTTGCGGCCTGTGGTTTGTAATTTTGAACTTTCTGGAACACAGAAAAAAATCATAAATTCCATGTGATAGATTAACACTCCCCTTTCCTTCTTCCTGCTTTCCCATCCTCGGTCCCCTCAGTGTTATGTATCAGTTTCATGTAGGGATTTGGATTATTCATTCTTATAAGAAAGTCTTATGAGATGCCAGTGGTTTACTCAATTAATAATTCTTCAAAAATGTAGGAGATGAATAATATTTATAATTCTAATGGAAACCACTGATATTCTGTTGATTCTCTTACAATGAGTGATTTATTATCAAGTAGGATAAAAAGAAATGAAATCAACTCCTTTGCCCTCCTCCCCACCTCACCAATTGCTAAGTAACACATACATACTTTTCAATGTTTCCAAAGCACTCTTTATTAGTCTATTTATCCCATTAAAGTTTTTCATTATAAAATCAATATAAGCATATTACAGAAAGTCTGGAAAATAGGAAAAAAAACAAAATCCTTCCATCACACTCCTACTTCTGTTCTCCTACTAACAGCATTCTGGGTTTGTATGCTGGCTTACAAAAATAGTTTTAGATAGGTATGGCTATTATCCTCTTTATTCAGAAGAAGAAACAGGCTGAAAAGTGAAGTGGATTGCTGAAGACTGTGGAGCCATTATCTAGAAAAACTGAGACATTCTTTCAAATATATTTTTTGGAGCAACTACTATGCACTGTAGCTACAATGGTGAGCAAATCATTCATTGCTTCTGTTTTGCTCTTCTGGTAACAAAATGAAACTCTTGCTAATAAAATTAGTAGAATTCCTGAACAGTGTTTGGCAAACATTTCTCCATAGAGCTAGACTAGATGATCACTAATTTCAACTCTTATTCTATGAAATGAAAGGAAGCTGAAATTGTCGGTGGAATCACTGAACTTTGGACAGACAGGTCACTGGGGCTGAGAACACAGTCCATATAACTGCTGTTGGGCAAAGAAACCTGGGCAGAGGCCCCATGTGGCTCTACTTGTGAGCCTATAGGAATAGCTGACTGATAGAAGTATTTAAAAATTGGGCTGGTATTGGTTATTTCTAGAAGAAGAAAGCAAAAACATTTTTTTTTCCTGGCTTGAACATGAATTTGGCTGCTTGAAAATGATGTTGCTGGGACTCTGTGTTAAATGCTGCAAAGTAAACATATTCACCACACACCACTCTCTTCCTAAACTTCACTAAAACAAAAGAGGGGGTGGGAGAAAGGGAGGAAGGAAGAAAGTGAAATAAATAAATGACAAACATCTATAAAGACAAATAAATGGGAAATAAGACAAAAGCAAGTAAATTCTGGTTTCTGAAAAGCAGATGGACAGATGGATTTAATGGACTTGAGAAAGACAGAGTCTAAGGCAGCAGTGGAAGAAGCTGAACAGTAACCCACCTCACCCCATGGGCACCATGAGATTCTGGAAGTGGGAGTGCATGAGGAGCTAAAATCAGAAGGTTTGGCTGAAACCTATTATCAAGCAGCTAGACTTATAAATCTTCTCCCCTACTGCAGAGATGGACAAATAGCCCATCCCCACCATAAATGGAAGCAACTGGCTTATATCTGGAAAGCAAAACAAATGAACAAATAAAAAATCAACTCAAATTCAACCCAATCAAATCAAAATCCAACAAAACCACACAACAGGTCTCTGCAGTGAGAGATAGGGAGACATCAGGTACAAAGAAAATGGGTGATGATAGTAGTTGTGCTATAATATCAAACCAGATGAAACCATTGGGTTCTCAGAACAATGATACCTGAACTTGTACCCTCTGGGAAATCTGACCATCCTAAGAGAATATATCTGAAGATTCCAACATTGGGGATTTCCCCATGAAAAGGTGGTACAAGTTCACCCTATAGTGAAGGCTGTAAATAAAGAGCATGCCAATGGCTCTTAGCCAGCCAAACAAATGGCAAAGGATCACCTGGCAGTTGAGAAACACATCTAGCATGAAATAATACAAAGACCAGAAATAAACAAAAGAACAACTTAGAGGATAGAGAGACTATCCTGAAAAGAAAACAATAAATGAAATACAGCCCATCATTAGTACTCTGAGAGATAAAATATCACATTACTGTAAAAAGGACAGGGCTCTATAAAAAGATCCAATTATAGGGAAAAAGGGAATATTAAGAATTAAAAAATAATATCAGAAACTTAAATATCCAGTGGAAGGCTTAGAAAATAAAGCTGATTTGGCCTTCAAGGAACTAGGGTAAAAGGACATTGGATGGGAAGTGATGAAAAAAAAGCAAAAGAAAAGAAAATGAAAGGATCAATGGAGGAGATCTGTCATCTGAATAAAAAGAGTTCTGGTAGAAGAAAGGAGAGGAAAAGGAGGTGAGGGAATAATTAAATAAATAAGAAAATGTCACACAAATGAAGGATGTAAACTTCTGCAATTGCCAAGTGCCCAGGAAACCAGACAAAGATTCTAAGGCACATCACAGTGAAATTTTAGAATAGTGAAGTCAAAAGAAAATGAAAACATTCCAGAAATGGGGATGGGGAATAGAACTTCTGGAATCAGAATGGCATCAGACTTGTCATCTCCAAAAACTAGAAGACATACAGCAAAGTCTTGCAAATCTGAAGGAAAATGATTTCTTTTTTATTTTATTTTATTTTATTTTATTTTAATTGATTGTTCAAAACATTACAGAGCTCATGATATATCACTTTCATACATTTGACTCAATTGGGTTTTGAACTCCCATTTTTACCCCAGGAAAATGATTTCAACTGAGAATTCTACACTTGTCCAAACTATGAGTAAATGATAAGTGGAATACATCTCTCCTTAGACATGGGATGTCTCCAAAAATTAGTTCCCAAGTAACCCTCTCAGGAAGGTACTAGAAGAAGATCTCCCCACAGAAAAGAGGAAGACCTGGGGTACAGAAAATAGAAATCCAACACTGGAGAGTGATAGGAAGAGTCTGTAACATGGTAGTGAAAGGGGGACTGCTGTACACTGAGCATGGAGGCAGCTAGTTACCTGCCCAAGTGGCAGCAGGGCAGGGCCTCACAAGAGCATTCTTCAAGGAGATATGACTGAAGCAATGCCTGATGTACTTGATTATGTTGAGAGAAGATTGACCCAGCCGGAGAATAGTCTGGGGATTATAAGCAGTAAGTGCTCGGAGCACAGGAAGTTTCCTTTGCTCATACTAGCTTGTCTAGCACCTGACACATAGTAGGCAGGGTTTCAGTTAATGTCAGTTTGCAAATTGAATAATTGCATGATAACTGAAACTCACTCTGTTAGGATGAAAACAGTGGGCTGCTTTATAATTCACTATGTCTGTTAAGGGCATGAACTGTGCAAACAATAAAGTTTGTTTTACATCTCCCTCAAATTTTCATCCTAGCACTGAGCCTGCGGATTTGTTGCACAGTTCTGATTCTGTGAGTTTCCGCACTGTCTCTGCGGGGTAGGAGAAGAGATGTTGTATTACTTCTGTATTTGGAATTTACTGTGTATTTAATGACTACACCACCTTATCTCAGTGGAGTCACTGACTGCACTTTAATTTTAAGGTATATCAATAAAGCACTTCATCTGAAAGAACAATGAAAGAAAGACAAGCTAGAGTTTGCAAGGGGCTTACATTGTCCTAGGTGAATTTAATCTATTATCTGATTTAATCCTCATAACAACACTGCAAATTGGATATTATTATCCTGATTTTTCTGATGAGGAAGCTTTGGCTCAGAGATGTTAAATGATTTCCCCAAGGACATACAGCTAATAAATGGTAGAACTGGGATTTAAAATAATTATTTTTTCTAATTATAAATTTTATAAAGACTTACATTCCCAGTAAGCCACATAGTATCTCAATGTAGTTGAATTATTTTTGTTTTGTTTTGTGGGGGTGGTGGGTACCAGGGATTGGACTCAGTGAGCCACACTTCCAACCCTAATTTGTATTTTTTTAGGGACAGGGTCTCATGGAATTGTTTAGTGCCTCATTGTTGCTGAGGCTGGCTTTGAACTTGTGGTCCGCCTGCCTCAGTCTTCCAAGCTGCTGGGATTACAGGCGTGCACCACTGGTGGTACCTGGCTCAATGTGATTGAATATTTTACATAGCAAATTTCTAGTTCTCCGTAAGCAATACCTATATTAGTCTTCATTTATTTGTTAAACTAGATGAAATTGTGTTAAGTCATCTTCGAATCACACCTTTTTTTGTGCACATTAATACCCTTAATCTTGGTGTATCACAGATCAGCATTTTACAAAATTTGTGCCTTGGAGTAGTAATGTTATGAAAATGCTTTACATTGCTGAAGAAGTTTGGGAAATGCTTGTTTAACCAAATTTATTATGCCTCTTTATTAGTGTCTTTAATATTCTAATTTTTATTTTACATTTCTGAGACAGGGATGAAAAATGTAGCATTTCTCAAACTACCTATCAAAGAGAACCTTTTCTAACTGAGTATCTTATAGAACAGCTGTTCTTTGGGTACAATCTGAGTATCTTTATATGTTCAGAGTGCATTTCAATATAAAAAACAACTCTCCTTTTCAGGAAACTCTACCTTATGCCTAACTTAAATCTTTTCTAATATCATGTATATATTTATGTTCTGCAGTAACTAGCATATACATGACAGAAGTTGAATGGCAACTATAGAAATAGGCTGGCCAGGCAGTCATTTCCTGATTATTAGATAGTAATCCAAAAGGAATCTTAGGGGGAAACCCCATCATTCTTTTATTTTTTATTACTGGGAATTGAATCTAGGAGTGCTTTACCGCTGAGCTACATCCCCAGCCCTTTTAATTTTTTGTTTTGAGACAGAGTCTTCATAAATTGCTGAGGCTGGCCTTGAACATGTGACCTTCCTGCCTCAGCTTTGGGAGTTGCTGGGATTATAGACATGTGCCACCAAGCCTGGCCCCATCATCCTTACAAGTAGTTTTAGCTTTCCCTCTCTGATAAGGACCAAAAATAAAGTGCTTATGAATTGTAAAGAACCATCAGTTTAATTGCTTTATTGTTTTTGCTTCCATACAGGAAACAATGGACAAGGGAAGTGATGGAGAGGCAGAAAAGAAAGAAGCCCAGGTAATCCCCAGCTGGGTTAAATGAGCTCTGGATAACTGAGAACTGTGTGGACTTCAGTCAGTGTGAAGTGTTGAAGGTCCCAGTTTGGGTACAGTCTTCCTAGAGAGCAGGGAATGGAAATCCCACTAGGGTTTCCTTCTCAAGCTGCTTCCATACATATTTACATCTCCTAATGAACCAGTCATTAGAAAAACATTATTTTCTCGCAAACACTTGTCCTCATTGCTAGCTGGAGCCAACATTTCTGAAGGGCCCTGTTGTCATAGCTGTATGGTAATTGGGAAAACTTTTTGCTAATGCTAAGTATGACTTATACCTAGTGCAAACAAGCTAGCATAGCATCTCTTAGTTTCAACTGTGGAGTTCTCCCCTCCCTGGCCCAGCAGTGCCCTAAATCTGGAGAGCACAATGTAGCTGAAGAGCTGATGGGAGGGTGGAAAATGAAAACTTTACGGAGACTTTAATTCTCCAAATAAAATAAATACCTCTTCTGTGAATCCTTGCATAGATCAGAAATCTGACCATGTCTCAGTTAAACAACTGAAGAGATTCTCTGGGTGCAATTGCTTTAGATCTAGGGAAGGTGTGCCAGCCTTTCTCCTGCACAGTGGTGCAGAGGAGCAGTAGTATTCAGGGAGAGATTAAAAGTTCAGCATCCAGTCCTGATGTAGGCTGGGAAACTAAAGAAATAAGGTGTGGCAGGATGATTGAACTTGGAATCAGAAAACCCAGGTTGGATCCAGATTCTGTCTTTTCCTGGCATGGTGACCTAGGGCAAGTCACTTAGCCTCAGTTATAACTGCCAAAATGAGGATGAAAAGGAGACACTAGGAAATTTTGCATTGCAAACTATAGTCTAAATAGATTTGAAGACTTCTTATGATTATCTTTATAATTGTTTGCGATCCCTCAGGGATGCTCAGGGAATTTCCCTTGGGGGTGGAAATTTTGAGGCTGAATATCCCCAAAGAACCAGCACCATGGAGGAGTCTTAGGAGAAGACAATTCAAAGAGAAAGGAACTTATGGCAGCTGCTGTTTTTCTTGTGCTTATTTTCAGACTGTTCATACAGAGAGGGCGAGAGGGAAAAAGAAAAGAAGGGAGGGAGGAAAAGGGAAGTCTCTGCTGAAGGGTTAAAGCAAGATAGTGCTGTAAAGTGATTCCAGATGTACAAATATTAATATCTCCCTCTCCCTGATGAATGAGAAGGTATGACCCAGCTAGGAAACTGCTAAAATTACCGGCGCCACTGAGACCTCACTCGATGGCCCAGCTCAGATTTTTATCCTTACCCCGGCAACTGTGATGCTGATGAAGGGCTCGGACCTGCTGCAGCAGACTCTCCAAAACTTCGCTCTGTCCCTTGTGTCTGGGCTCTCTGTCGTCATAGTCTTTCCAGTCTATTGAACAAAAGAAACAAACAGAGTGAAATTTTAAAGCAGGGGAGGCCTCTTCCCTGCCCAGCCTTTCAGGAGCTGGGGTTTTGCTCACACTATCTGCAGGCTCTGTGGATGAGCACCCAGCACACCCACAGCTAGCCAAGTAGTTGGAAGCTGCCATTGTTCAGAGCCCTGAGCAAAACAGTAATTGTGGTTGATTTCTTGTGCTGGGCAGTTTTAGGGCAAGGGAAAATGGCAATTGAAAACCAAAAGAAAATAGGACATTTGGGAGTCCAATCTCTCCTTATCATAGCCCCCCGCCCCTTTCAGCATCCCACATCCTAATAATTTCCCCTGTCACTTCTCCACTCAGCACCCCAAGTCCTCAACTGGATTTCCACAGTAGGAAAGAAAGGGGTGGGAATGTGCAGACTAGATGAAATCCACAGTCCCAATGCTTTTATTGTAGGTTTCACACTTTGGGCCAAATTGACATTTCTTTCCAAGGAAAGAGCCCATGTCAGATGCCAAGAAATGGAAATCTACATTTTGCTCTAATGAATGTCTGCTTTGGTTAGCTGGCACAGCACCCTCTGCACATACTCCGAGCCACCAACCACCCTGTCTGCTCAGTCTTTGAATATACAGTATTAGCTTACATGGCAAATTTAAATTGCAATACCCACTGAGACTTTTCTCCCTCTTCTATTTTCATTCCATTTGGCTATAATGATATCAAGGGTAATAACTCATATGGGACTAATGTCAAGATTGTAATTCTGCTGTTTCCAACTCTAGATTGTTTTTCAGCAGGTCAGTCATTTCATTGTTCATCCCTCCTCTCCTCTATTTCCCTCCCCCCATTTTCCTTTCTGAGCCTGTTAAAAGCAACAACTTAAAGCACTTCTTAGGTGAACTGCTTTTTCTAAAAAGGCTGGTCACTCTTCCCTAGAAAAGACTGTTAATTCTAGAAAAGACTGTGTATCTTAGGCTTAAACGCTAGTTAAACAAGTTCCAAATTCCCTCCCCATAGGTTTATTTTGAAATATGGGGTCTTCCTCATTCAGAAAGTTAAGCCTATGTCATGCCAGTCAAAATTCAGTAAAAGCTTCCTGCCATCGTCTCTCCAAGCCAGGAGAGCTATACCATTAGGAAGAACATAGGTTCTGGAGTCAGATACCCCTGAGTGTGAATCCTGGCTCCCCGAATTCCTATATTGTTGTCTGCAAGCAAGTTGCTTACATTGACAGAGCTACTACTCCCTAATTTGAAAAATGAGGATGGTATATACTTTGTGGGATTTTTCAGGGATTACATGAGAAGTATATTAGGTTTCTGGCACTATGCCTATTATGTGACAGGAATTCTGTAAATAATAATGTAAAATGGAGGCAATTCATTATGGATACACCATTTCTTACCCTATCAGATAATTACCCACGAAGAAGAGGACCTCAGAGATTTTGTAACTCATCTTCCTTCCCATTCTCCCCCATGCACAACTCTTCATTCTGTCTTTCAGAAGACTGAAGTGCAGAGACAGCCATTTCAGTCCTATCTTACTGAGCATGTTGGTGGCATGGGGGATAACATAGTCAAGTGATCTTTTGGAAAGTGCTCATGCTCATTTCATTATCCCAGGGACATTTTCTTTTATTTTGGAAAGGAGGGTCAGAGGCTAGGGTGGGGTTTGGGCTGGGGTTTAGCTGTGGTCAGCTTTGTAGACAGGGAATTGTAGACTTTTATAGACTCTTTGTTCCTTGTGGGCAAGATCATTACTTAATCTCTGTCTCATTTTTCTCCTTTAAATTGAGTTTTAAAAGTCTTTTTTAGGTTATTTGAGAGTTAATAGAAACAATGTAAGTAGAGCACTATCCTGGGCACAGTTGTCATTCGAGTGTGGCTGGTGAGGCACTATGATTAAAAAGCTTGATGGTGTTTAGGTACACTGGGAAAGGGAAGGGTGTTTTTTACTGGGAAATTAGGTAAAGTTTAAGGAAATAATTTCTTGTGGCCTTTAGACTAGTGCCTCTCATCTCTGGACAAAGTGAGAATAAACATTGCCCTCATGGATTCCCAAAGGCCATTGTGAGTTTGTTGCCTTAGTTGGATGCATGCATCTGAATGCTCACCACAGATGAGCAAGATGGTGCCCTTGAGTAAGACTCCTGGGTGGCTGAATTACTATGTGGCACCAATCATGCTAATCTTTCTAATGAGTGTTAAAGCTGCCATCAAAGCAAGAGGAGTTAAAATGGTTCTGGCTATTCCAGCTTAGCCCTATTACATCAAGGGGCAAACTCGACTAATGATTTTATGATACATTAGAAAATTGCTAATGCTAAATTGCAGCCCAAGTTAGCATTGAACTTGATGCCAAGGTTTTTGGAAAGAATGAGTTTTTCTAATAGATGTTTGGAAGGTTCTGATGACTACATAAAATAGGAGACTTTAGGGATGAGGGAGAAAATTGAAAATATATTAAGAAATCAGGACCCTAACAGGAATAAACTTAGCATGGTAGGAAAAGAGCAGATTGTGCCACATAATACAGTTCACTGTTCTGGTAATGAGACACTTCAATTGCAACACAATGCAGAGCTTACATTCACTGGCCATATCAGGGTTTTCCTGATCGTAACTCAGACAAGCCTGTCTGGGTGCTTTTCTCTTATTATGTACCATACCATATAACATAGGTCTATAAAAACACATTAAGGACTTTTGTAAAAATATAAAAAAAAGTTTTATAGCTTACTGGAACATATTACCAAATTTCCAATTACTCTGTCATGTTAGAATACATTGTCCTCTAGTAAATATCTGAATACTGATATATGTTACATCACAATGTCATACTCTGTTTATAAATAGAATGGGAGTGTTTTTGTATTGTTCTTTCCAAGTGATATGGCATGTCTACAGCAACTATTACCACATGTTAGGATTTCAGTTCTTTTCCAGTTATCCCTACTAATCACACATACCAGTTTAGAAAGCATTCTATTTAAATTACCAACAAATAAATGACTCCCCTGAGTCCTGAACAACTATTCTTGTCACTCTGGAGTGAGCTCTTCAAATATGCTCTGAGAGAGGGTATCTGCACAGATTTGTAGTTTATAGAATTGAACCTGAACTTTATGCATCTGTATATAGACTAGAATCTGCATGGGTATGCAGTTGGAGTGAGTTTTCCCCATTTCACTTTCAGGTCAATGGCACTTAATATATTTTGTGTTTTTATGTACTTTTTGTCCTCCATCTCCAATAATACACACTCCCTGCTTCCCTAGTCACAGATGGTTCCCTTTAATATCATCATCTTGTAATTTTCAGTTTGTGTTTCTGATAAATCTTCAGCCATAAAGATATTCAAATAAGACTGGAGTAATTAAGTCGTCAAATTCAGAGGGACTCAGGGGTCTTGGAGCTCTCTGGCTCTATATGAACTGGTATAGCTATTTGAACCCACCATAGGTGGTGGTCAGGCTGTTTGGTTGGCTCTTAGTCTGCTTGTCTACCTGATGGTTAGTTATTATGGCACAGGAGACACGGCAGGGCCTTGACCAGCTCAGGTTTGAATCCTCACTCAGACACTTACCAAGTGTTGTGACCTTGGGGAAAAGGAACATCATTTCTGAATCCCAATTTGTGTATTTGTGTTTGTGCTAATAGTTCCCTATCTAGTAAAATGAATCAATCTAAGTAAAGTACTTAGATTGATGCTCTGCATATTATGTGTCTTATGAAGGTTATCTCTCATTTTGATAGTGATACAGATAATAATGATAATAATGCTTATCTATAGGACAAGGAGGAAGATAAAGGATTGCTGTGAGGCTTAAGAGAGAGAGAGATGAAAGTCTATAATGTATTGCTTGGCTCATGGTTCATCTTGGGTAAAGTACTGTTATAAAACTTGAGAAATTTACATATATATAAAACAATAAACTAAAGGAGCCCATAATCCCATAACCTAAATGACCACTGTTAAATTTTGATAATTATCAAGAGTCACAGACACTGTATCTAAGTATAGGTAAATTAATGATCAAATGTTACAGAAAAGATCTCCAAATTTTATATTATAATTTTTACATAAAATTTGTATAGTAGAAATTTCTTTCATGTATTGAATGGCTTTTTTGAAATACCATTTTTAGTGGCTATGTTTGGTTCTATAGTATAATGAATACATATATATTATGTTTTACTTTGCTATTAAATTAATATTGGATTTATTTTCTTCATTACACATTGTTATCCATATACTGTGGCACTGCCCATCTTTGTATATAATTGTTTATCTATATTTCTGTTTCCTTAGGTTAGATTCCTAGATGTGTGATTATAGGATAAAAGGAAAGGGATTTTCTTAAGGGAAAATTTTCTTATGGGAAATTTTGTTCCATAAAGGATGTAGTAGTTTGAACTCTCACAAGAACCATTTTTAACTATCACATTAGTGACATATTTTTAAAAAGATGAAAACACAATCCAGGGCTCTGGGCTCATTACAGAGAAAAATCTATCATATCATCTGTCTGGAGTTGTTTGTTCTGGTTAACTACCTTCTCTGGTTAGGAGAAAGTCACCAAACATACCAGGCATGAATTATTAATCTTCAAGTAAATAGAAGAGGCCTTTTGCTGGTTTTCTCAGCCAACACTACAAATGATACAGATTATGTTTGTTGCAGAGCCTGTTAGCAAGAAAGTATTTCTTCACTCAGAATGTTAGATGAGTAAAATGTTAGATTTTATTCTGTTAAGGAATGGATATGATGTGTCCACTGGGGGCAAAGAAGGGGAGATGAGAGATAAAATGGACTGTATGTACTCTGGGCCAGCAGCTCCCAAGGTACCGTTTCTTCATTCCCATTACAGCTCTGTGAAAGGATATGATTAGGCCTATTCTATAGATGTTGAATTGCAGTTTTGAGAGTTTGATTTTGAAGGCACACGTGATATGGGATATAAAGTCAGTCTTTCTGGTTCCAAGTTCCCTCTCCTTTCACCTACTGAGCTGCTGTCCCAGGAGTGTTTTTGCAGAGGAATCACTCATTCTGTGTCTGAGATGCTGCCCTGAGAAGGTCTGGTGGGTTGCAAGTAGTGGGAGAGGGGATGGCCAGGGCACCACGGAGAGGGAGCTAGAGTTGGAGCCTGATGCCAGGCCTGAGAGTAGCCAGCACCTACTAGAAGGAGAGGCACATGCCGGTGTCGTGGTCTGAGCTGGTCCCCATCCTTTCATGTTATAAGCCGAGACCTGAACAAAATATTGTTGGCCCTGCAAAGAATTGAAATAGAATAATGCATTAGACATTTCAGTCAATCATTTTTTTCCCTGGAAGCAGATCTTTGCATTAGCTTGCTCATCCATTTTGAACTCTTCTGTCCATACTATATATAGCTTTCTGAGTTTTCTTGAACATTATGTTTATAAATTATAGTAACCATATTAAAGTGTCTTGTTTCTATGTATTTTTTGGTTTTAAAAATTGAAATGTTATAATTATTTTTTCCTAATTCCCACTCCCCTTAATTAATTAATTATTTTTTTGTGTTGGGGGTACTAGGGATTGAATCCAGGGTGCTTAATAAGTAAGTCACATCCCCAGCACTGCCTCGACCCCTGTTTTTCCTGGTGCTGGTGACTGAACCCAGGGCCTTGTGCGTGTGGGGTAAGCACTTGACCAATTGAGCTATATCTCCAACCCTCCCAGCCCTTTTTGTTTTTTTATTTTGAGATAAGATCTTGCTAAGTTGTTGAGGCTGGCCTTGAATTTATAATCCTCCTGTGTCAGCCTTCTGAGTCTCTGGGATATTAGGCATGTGCCACCAACCTGGCAAAATGGCAAGCCTCAAAATTTATACACCAATTTTTAAATTTTTACTTTTATTTTTTATTTTATTTGGTGCAAGAGATTGAACCCAAATAAAGAACTTAGGCACTGAGCCACATCCTCAGGTCTTTTTAAATTTTTTTAAATTTTGAGACAGTGTCTAAGTTGCTTAGGGCCTTGCTAAGTTGCTAAGGCTGGATTTGAACTTGTTATCCTTGTGCCTCAGACTCCTGAGCCACTGGGATTACAGGTGTGTACCACCACACCCGGCCAAACACTACTCTTTAAAAATCACACAGTCCTATAAGGTTTATCCAAAACAGTGACCTCTACTCTTTCCTCTTTCTTCTTATTTTTCACTCCCCAGAGGCATCAGCCATCACCCCTTTAGCTGATAAAGTTTAGAAATTAACAAGCTGTAATGAATATCTTTTCAGAATAGTCCATTAAAAACTTGCTTCATTCTTTCAGTGACTTCACTGTGAGAAGATACTGTCATTTATTTAACCATGCCTTACTGGTAGACATTTGAATTGTTTCCATTTTTCCCCACAACAAATAATGCTGCAATAAGCGTCCTTAACTTGGCTGTTCAGACATTTTTAAAATTAACTCTGATTTGATTTCCATTTTAAAACTATTATTAAAATAATGGCTTATATTCTTTAATTTTTTATGGCATTAAGAATTAAGGAGTTGTTTTTGTTTGCTGATAGTTCATTAGAATTTTTGTATGTTTTCTTCTTTGCTTTGAGGTTTTCCTTTTTTTCTAATGAATCAAAGAAGCATTTGAGAAGCCAGAGTTTGATGAAATATTGCTTGCAAAAATTGTAAAATGTTGTTTGAAGTTTAAAAAATCATATATCTTTGTAGAGCTTTTTGCTAGGGATTTAATAATATTGGCCTTACCATACTATGAAGTTATTTTTTTAACACTGAATATGGATTTCTATGCACCTCAAGGTTATAAGGATTATGTAGAAGTGTAAATCTACTTCTAGGCTTTTATATGATTAGGACAGTGTCTGCATTGCTCTCATTGGATGGCCAAGTGGAAAAACTTAATCCCTGTAGGAATTAGTACAGATATTAGAGAAACCGTCTATGGAGAGTTTTCCATTTTTATCACCATATCACTTTTTCTTTTAAGCAATGGAAATTCCCTAGGGTTCCTTCTGGCCCTCTTCCACCATGTGAGCCATGGGTTTGGAATCAGTCTTCTGCTGATAGCATCTAGGGGGGCCACCCACTCAGGGGTTTGTTTGCTCCAGTAATTCACAGTTCTGGCCCCTGGTATAGACAAGTGATTAAGACTAAAAGTCAGGATTGTTGGTGGTGACCCAACCACCAAGAATTCTATTAGAATACAATGGCTAAAGCTTAAAAAGATGCAACCTAATGCACCTTTTTAGTACTGGGTTTCAGGATTATATTTTTCAAATAATAGTTTTAATTGATTAACCTTTAAGAAAACAACAGAATTGTCCCTCTATGGCCTCCATGCAAAATTCTTAAGATATTATTTGAATGGAACAAAAAAATATGGAAGTTTTGATTTTTTTTACTTTAAAAACAATTTTTATTAAAAGAAAAAATTTTTAAAATATTTTATATTGTAGTTATTTGAGGAAATACAGGGTTTGTGTTTGAACTAATTTGCTGGGTTTTTTTGGTGTGTGTATTTCACATGCTCTTATGGTTCATAATTTCATAAATAATTTGAGTTTATACTGGTTGTACAAATAAACATGGTTTGTGCCAGTTTTTCATTCACAGTTTAAATTGGTTTAGGTTACTGAGAAACATAGCTCCACCATATATAGTTTCTTTCTTGTGAAAGCAAATTTAGACAGTTTTTTTTTTCTTTCTTTCTTTTTAATCAAGGGAAAAGGATATCTTTCAGGAAATTGTGTGACTCCAATTGATGACTGATCTCAACTAAGGCTGTGGGGGTGAGGCTAGATGGGGCTGTTATTTTTACCATCAGACAGGGAGTCAAAATTGGATCTCTCAGAGCCTTTGATCCCCCGAAGATTAGACTGTGATCCAGAAAGCAGCAGCTTTCAAGGCTTGCATGAGGCCAGTCTTTTTCTGATCTCCTTAGAACATGGCAACTTACAAAGTGGTTCATGCTGTCTGCTCACTCCTTTGTGAAATTCAGATTATGGATACCAGACATATCATGCTTAATGAGTGGCAGTTGTTGCCAGAGGACTGGGTGTTGGCTGTGGCTTCCAGAATAGGCATTTGCTACCAACATCCCAGCACAAATGTCAGTGACAGGGAATGGTAAGCCTATCACAAGGACATTTACCGTCTTAAGTCCTGTGATTGTGCATCTCAGCGTCTGTAGGTTATCCATGATGATTTCTCCAGCCAAGGGAGAAAAGTCTTTAGACATACTCCATTCCACTGTGGGGGATTAGAGGACAGGAAGGAGAGAAAGAGAATGAAGTTTAGTCAGAAATCAAGAAGCACCATAGAAATTCTAGCATATAATCCTTTTCACAAACTTTGTTCACCTTCTTCTCCTTTTATTGGCACAATAACAATCCTCCTTGGAATGCTAGGTGTTTCAAAGATCACCAGTATTTTTTAAAAGAGGAGCCCCAAAGCAATAATTCTATAGTCATTAATATACCTTATGAGTCTTTTGAACCTCAAAAGATATTTTATTGTGGTATGTGTATGTTTTTGTGATGTTCTTAACATGAAATATAATTTATAGTCATATGACCCTGAACAACAGGATATGTTCTGAGAAATGTATCATTATTGAAATTTTTTTTTTGTATTGGGGATTAAACCCAGGGATGCTTTACTACTAAGCTACTTTCCCAGCTATTTTAATTTTTTATTTTGAGGTATGGTTTCCTAATTTGCTTAGAGCCTCATTAAGTTGATGAGGAACTCAAGCAATCCTCCTGCCTCAGCCTCCTGTATTTGTGATCTTCTTGCCTCAGATTCTCCAGTTGCTTGGATTATAGGTGTGCATCACTTCTCCTGGAAGGCATTTTTTTGGTGTATGTAAATATCATACAGTGTACTTTCACAAATTAAGTTGGCCATGATGTCACCAGGTGATATGTATTTGGTCTGTCCTTGACTAAAATATCCTGATGGGGTTCATGACTGCATAGTATTGCCATAAGGCCATTGCTATATAAAACATAATGTGTATATGTGTGTTCATGAATATATATACACACACTTAGGCAGATTATATATAACAGTTCATTGTATATAGAAGATAAATCATTTATTGTATATGAGAATTGAAGGGTACATGAGGACATTACCACTATTTACTTCCCAAGGTTGGCTTCTGCTTCATTTCTCTACTGAAAATGCTCTTTCAAGGGTCCGGTGACATTCAAAATTAAAAAAAAAAAAAAGCCTTTTTTCATTTCCTCCACCTTCAATACTTTATATGTCTCCCTTTCTTTTTCTCCTCTTCCTTCCTGATATCTTCTTGCAAGCTTTTTTCATGGGCTTCTTTGCAGCCCCTAGGATCTGGGGTTTGCAGATTACCTTTATTCAATGCTTTTCCCTGGTGACATCCCAAGGTAGATGTTCATTTGTAGTTAAATCATCTGAATTCTAATACCCACTTTTACTGTGAGACCATGTTCTTTCCTAACATCCTCCATTGGTTGGAAAGGCCATGGTCAGGAAGGATAAATTGTGCATCTTGGGTAAAAAATGTTATAAGTAACTGTTTACATGTAATGAGATTTAAAGCTAAGTTCAATGAAGCAGGAGTTTGAGAAGTGAAATCACATGGAAAGCCAGGCTTCAATGTTTCTATGCTTCATGATGACAAAGTAGTGGCCTTGAGATTTAAGGTATATTCTTGATGACATTTTAATACCTCAGAATCAAGCCAAGCCACCCCCAACTCCTGCTCTTCTCCTGGGTCATTCATCCCTATGATTTGGAGCGGCATCCCCTGCTCTTCCTCCTTCTGCCCCTAAGAATCTAGTTTGCTTTCTTCAGTTTTCTGAATTTCCTCTTCTAAAATTCCTAGTGCTCCAATTGGCAACAACTTTTTGAGACATTCTGCCCCTTTGGCCTCTTGGTTGTTTTTGCAACCTTCTCTCCCCTTTGTCTTTGTTGCACCCTCTCTTTTGCTTCTCCTGCCTTTTCCAGACTTCCTCTTTCTGGCCTTCTTTTTCTCCTTTCCCTTTGATGTGATGTTCCTTGTCCCCCCGCCCCCCATTCCATGTATTTGTCCCTAGTGTTGACCTTATCTTTTTTTTTTTTTTGTCTCTATAAGACTTAAAGCTGTGATTCTAGGTCTAGCCTCTCTCTTGAGCTCTAACTTTCTTCTGTAAATTTCCACTTGAGTGTCTCACACTCCATTTGAGTGTTCTCTAAGTACTTTCCTTTGCAAAAAGAGGATTTTCTCAGTGGTAGCTAGTGGCAGTTCCATTTTAATTACCCAACCAGTTGATAACTACACCCTGTAGTTTCTACTTCTAAAATATGTGCTATAAGTTCTCCTCTTCCTGTCCCACGATACTAACCCTAGAACAGGACTTTATAATTGCAAGCATTAACTTTGCTTTCTGAAAGAAAAATTTTTTTGGGGGGTGGTTACTGGGATTGACACTTAACCACTGTACTATATCCATAGCCCTTCAACTTTGCTTTCTAATTGATTTTTCAGCTTGTCTCTTAATCTTTACCTATAATCAATCATCTGAATGCACCATGAATTATAATTTAAAAATATAAATCTAACACTAGCCTAACATCTTTTCATAGTGTATAGTTGCTTTGTGAATTAAACAAAATCTTAGCAAGGCATGCAAGGACCTTTATATCTGATTTCAGTCTTACACTATTATTCTAATCTGCCATTTGCCAGAAGAAAGTCTTTGTTCTGGAAGTTTCTATCACCAGATTATTTCATGTATTTTTCTGCCCTTGTGTATTTTTACTCATCTTCCAACCTTCATTTGGCGAAGTTCTATTAATCTTTTAAGACCTAGTAAAGTTAACTCTAAATTGCTCAGTAGTATTTAATTAAATATACCCGATTTGTGTCCTAAAGTCTTTACTTATATAAAAATAAGATTTACTACCCTGTATTATGTTTTATGGGATGTGTCTTTTTCTCTTGTTAGATTGTGAGAAACTTGAACAGGAGAAGTATCATTCATTTTTTTCCTCTCCAGTTCTTTAATACATTTGATTGTATGTTTATATGTACACACATCTGCCTTCAGAGTAGACAACAGAACTTTCTCTAACATGTATATATTTTTCTTTCTTGTGATTTTTCTTTTCTAGTTTCCTGACTTTGAAGCTTTCAGGTATGGTAGAAAGTGTAGTTAGAATCAAATGATTACGATTTTATGGTAACTCTCAAATGAGGCCTAAATCTCCTGAAAAGTACATATTCTAAAACGTATTTATTATATATGTTAGATAAATCATACATGTGTCTATTTTTCAAAATGTTTTATTCTGATTATGAGCTATTAGCTCTTGAAAAAAGCATCTTGGGTAAAAAATGACATAAGTAACTGTTTACATGTAATGAGATTCAAAGCAAAGTTCAATGAAGCAGGAGTTTGAGAAGCTGAAATCACATGGAAAGCCAGGCTTCATTGTTTCTAGACTTTGAAATCAAACTGGAGAGGGTTTGTCATCAGAGAATAATGTTGTATCTAATTCTAGCTAAAGAAGAAAAGTGATGATTGAGGGAGTCTATATAAACAAAACAAAAATGAGAAGCAATTGTGCAAGGACATCTAGAAAGGGCAAAGAATACAGGAAAATTCTAGAAGCAAAAATGTCCTTTGGTTACCATTGAGATGTACATAATTGATTGCTATGGTGGAGCTCCAGACCCAGGGTTTCAAGTCAAGGGTTTCAAGTCCAGACTAAGAATTAAGGATGACTTCCCAAAGGAAGAGCAGTGGGAGGGTTAGTGGGAGCAATGCCAGATTAGATAGCAAGTCATTAATAGGAAGTTGCTCAAAGATACAATGTTTAAACTTTCTGAAGAGTCCTCAGTTCATTTTTGAATAAAACCTTTTCATGTTTTACTGAAATGTTTTTCAAAGAATGTTTCAGCTGGAAAAAGAGGGCCTGGCTTCTTGAAAAAAAAAACACAAAACTGAAGCAGTTTTGTAAGGAGGCGTGTTTCTGCTTTGGCATTAATAAGGGGTTTTAAACAATTAAGTCTAATTAGATCTTGTAACACATTTAAGTTTTGAAGGAGAAGGGGTTAGAGAAAGAAGATTCAGACTGGAGGAAAGAAATTCTCCTTGCTGGAATGGAGAATGTATTCTGGGACAACAAACAGACTTCCCTCTATGTACTTCCTTAGGGTGATAGACTCCTTTCAGCACAAAGCCACATAGAAACTAAAGGGATAGTTTAAAGAATAAGAAGGGACACACAATAAGTAGGACTTCCTTTGAGAGCAACAGGGAATTTTAAGAAGGCAACTTTGCATGCTCTCTCTGGCAGGTTGTGTGTAGGTAGTTTAAAGACCTCATGTAAAACCCTGAGAAAATCACTTACTTTTACATCCCTGAAGAGCTGGAGCCATGTATGTGAACTTTTAAACTATTTAAGACTTATAATTTTAAGGTATAGATCACAGAAACTGTTTCTATTCAGGTTTGCAAAATAGAAGTAGGGTTTCTAAGCCTCAGGCCAGCTTTTTGAGGGGCAAAGACTATGCAAAAGCAAGAGCATAAAGAAATAATACTGTGTAAATGTTAAATTGATTTCTCTTCAATTGATTACAAAAAAATACAAAATCTAATTTGTGTAGATTCTCTCTAAAGTCTCAAATGCTTCAAAGCCCAGGGTGGTTTTATCTTGTTCATATATTATGAGGCAAGTATCAGAAAAGCAATATTCTTTCCTCTTCCCCAGGCCTCACCCTCACTCTACTTGACCTCAGGCACTTGACTTCAAACTCATTGCTTATTGCTGTTCTCCCTCTTCCTCTACTTTCTTCTTCCAAAGCTTCTATCCTTGCATTTACATGGGCCTGGTTAAAATTTCCTCCCTAACTGTAGTTTCCTTGACTTGCCAATTTTCCCATAGTAATTTTTATGTTTCTTACATTGCACTTGCTTCATTGTAAGAGATCTGTCTCCCCTGTAGTTTATAAGCTCTTTGAGCACAGAGACCACATCCAAAGCTCCCATCTTAGACCCTACAGCAGGGTAGGTGGCTCTGTATTATCAGATGAATTAAATGCTTTATTCTTGATCCTGGAATGCTCAAAGTTTAAGATAGATAGAAATTTGATATTGGTACATTAAGAGTAAGAAAACTGGGTCAGAATAGAGAGAAACACAGTTAAAAAGAGGATGGCAGTTGCTTGAGTTACTCAGTTAGGGGCTGAAATAGGGATTAATTCCTGGCATCCACTTTCAGCATCC